AAAGTAAAATATATAAATTAATACCTTACTTTTTTTCAAATTAGTATACCAGATCTGTGTATTTGAATTTGATTGATTAGTTTTCAGGATTGAATAAAATATCAGTGATGTTATACTTAAACAATATTTTCAATGATCAAAAAATAATACAAATAGAGTTACCTGAGAGTTTAAAATAGATTTTGGAAATTGGACATTTATGATGGATATTGAATACCTAGGTGATTGAGCGTCATTTGGGTTTTTATGGAAGATGTTCTGAGAATACCGCCTTTGCTCAAAATTAAAATATAGATTGTGGCATATCTTGAACGTCTGTATATTGTGAATAATCGGAGTATTTAAATGTCATGATAATTTTCATAATCATCTGTATTTAATCAGTTATTCGAAAATGGTTAAATAGTAATTTTTTTAATTTAAAACTAAATTGGAAAACATTGGTGAAGTTTTCAAACCGATCTGCCGATAAGTCAAGTTTGGGTGGCCAACTTTACGTACGCAATACTTCCACAAAAGTAATAATAGGTATCTACCAAGTGTTAGTCTATTAATTTTATAATATTATGTAAAAAAATATAAATAAAATATTCGTAATTTTATTACCTTACCTACTAAAAATATAACAAAAAAAAAATTTATAATAATACTTATGATAATAAAATCACCAGGTCTATGCTTTGGGTAGCTTTTTAGTAGTCCAATGGTTATCGAAATCTAAAAATTGTCAAATAATATGATTGAGTCGAAACGTCAATGACCGAATAGTCGATATGTTAAAAATTAAGTGACAAAATAATAAAATAGGTAATATGTTGTGGTTAATTTTTTTTTTTTTGTATATTGTTGTCAATGTTGCGTCATCGTACAGACGTATAGTGTTACATAATAGCTTGCATACTTGTATTTACCACCCAGTGACCAAGCATTCATAACGTAATAAAAACGTTGATAAGTTAAGATAATAGCATTAGAATACGATTTAAAAAATAATATTTATTTGCGTTTTTAAAAAATTGAGAAATGTTACATTCATATATTAATGAATAATGACTGTAAAAACAAATAGAATATGTTATCCGAATATTCTTTATATTACCACAAGTCACAACTGATCGTACACACTAACACAATATTATAATAATTATCTGTATACATGTTTATGTGTATGTGTAAATGTGTAATAGATATATTATTACATAATTGTCCATATATCTACTATGAAATATTTTTATTTTTTTTTATTTATTATAATTATAAAATGTTTCAGCACACAGAGTGCTATTACAAGTAATTATTTTTTAACAATGCGTTAAATTATACTAGGTACATGCATTTTTTACATCGATACAATTGAGTAAGTATTACAGTTATCCATGGCTATTCTAATTATGAATCTTTGCTATCCGTTAGAAGAATATTCTGAGGGAGTCGAGGTTGAGACGTCTGAAATAATTTTATATGCCTATATAATGTGTACAGTAATATAGTACATGGTTATAAGTTATAAGTTATAATAATAATTATTATTATTAGTTGATTCTCAATTCTGTGTTTTTCATTAAATTATACAATATGTATGTTTCCTTTTAGACTAAGAGTAGATAGTAAAGAAGCCATTGTATATATACAAAAAATAAATTTACAAACAATTTACCACCCCTAAAAAATTTTCATCTGGAGCAAATGCTGCTTTTTCCTCCTCCCTCTTTAACGAATCCATGTTTATACATTGTTATATGGTATATTGGATAGTAATGTAAGTAAGACGTTACGTAATTTCGCTAAAATTGCTTCCAAGTAACGAAAATTTAATGGAAAATACTAATGATAAGTGACTCTTTAATATTATGCAAAACCATTTTTTTTTTGTTCTAGAATAAAACATCTAGTAATATTAACCATTTTTTATGGTTATATATATTTTTTTATATTTTAATCAAAGTAATTAATAAATACAGTTAAAATAGTTTACTAATGCAAATAATTAAAATTAAAAATATAACTTTATTTAGAAAAAAACTGACTTTCATTTTCGTATTAAACTCACTTAAATGTTACGAAAATATTTCTATGGTCGATTCTATGGTACACGTTTTCGCGATACAATTATAAAAGTATTATAAATTCAAAATATAGATTGGTAATAATTTTAAGCAATTTGGCTAGTGCATGAAGTGCGATATTAGATTTTAAGAATTATAGGTATAGCAATCAAACCAACAGGTACCTAAAACTTTTAGGCTAGTTTTTGTCACCAGTTATTACTGTTAACTTAAGACGGTCACTGACGTGAGGCAGTTTTTGAGTTAATTTCCTGTACAATCTTATAGAACAAATTATATGTTTATAATTATTTTTCATCAGTTATATTTAATGATTTTAGACATGATCACACTTAGCTACCAAGTAATTTTTTTTTTTTTTGGAAACCTAAGTAAATTGACGTTTTAAAAATTATGGTATTTAAAAAAGTTTATGCAAACAGTAAACTTAAACTTCTAAGTTGAATGTAGTTATATTTTGACACCGATCGATCTACAGTACTGCTTAAATAGATATTTTTGAAACGATTTACTCGTTATACTTTTATTAGTACTTTTTATATTAAAATCTAAGTGAAATTACTATAATATTGCTGCCAGACTTTCAAGTTATGGCGATGCGAAGTTTCCCAATTATATAATATTAAGAATTACAATATTATGATTTACGATTATATAGTTTCCCTGATATTTATCTATTAAATCAACAAAAACATATGATAAGATTAAGATAGTAAAAACAGTAGATCATAAATTCATATAGTTATAACTTATGACCGGATTTATATGCATTTTAAATTGTATAATATGCATGCAAACATGTACTAAAAAAGTCAAGATATGGGAAAAAAAAAATTCATAACATGCAAAATAAAATTTTTATTCTTATTAAATTTTATATTTGATTTTAATTTTTCAGTGATAATTGTTTATTAATTTTATTTAAATTTTCATAAACAAAAAGTAATGATGTATAATATAGCAAATATGCAATACAAAAATGGAATTTGTTAAATTATAATTTAATTTTTAACCATTAGGTAATACATTGTAAAAAATATTTTATTAAAATTAAATAGTAGATACATTGGTGATCTAAAAAGGAAAAAAGTACGATTTAATTTAATATGTTAATTGAAAAAACGATAAGTTATTAAAGTATAACAAGATTAGATAAAATAGATAAAGCCACGTCTCTGCTATAAAACTCGTACAACCAACTTATATTGAAGTTTAGTAACTTATTTTTAGCGTCCGAATATTTTTTGAATCGTAAAATATTTAATATTATATAAACGTACCTATATAATCTGTTTTTTTTTGTTTTTTGCTCAACACCTTTTTGGATAGTTAGATATATATTTGTACGGTTTTTTGTTAAAATATGCACTAACGTCAAAATATGCAATATGACATTTTGATATTTAATCAATCAATTAATAATTTGTGGTCACTCATTGACTGCATGTATATGATGTTGAACACAGCAACATGTATTTTATGCAAAATCCGGTCATTAGTCATAAACTCATAACCAATGTTTTTTTCGAGGTTTTAATTATTCAACGTGAAGTATCTACCTACGCAGTTTTATTACTACGATAGTATTATAACAATAATAATTTGAATAGATTTTTGAATCATCTAAAACTATATTGGAAACATTTTTGTTGATTTAATAAAAATGTATAAATTCCATAAATAGTGCAGATGATACTAATTCATCCTGTTATAAATGGAAATTCTTATAATAGTAAATTAACTTTTATTTACTTTAGTAGCTTAAATTTACAATAACTTTTGTGATTCCTATGTACTTACCTATTTACTGCATACGTTGTATAAATAAGTATAATTAGTAAACCACAACATACAATGTATATTTTACGTAATTTATCTTATTTCCTGATGTTAAAAGCTAAAATCAAGGTCACATATAACTTATAAGTGAGAACAGGGAGCATGAGCATTAGATGGTATCGAGGCATATTTTATAAAACAATATTTTTTTAGAAAAAGGTTAAAAATATAATGTCGTTATTCATATTTCAAAAAAATAAATATTTATTACATTTTAATATATTTATAGAGGTAGTTTATGGATTTGATACAGGAAATAAAAGTAAGGACACGTTAACTAAACGTTCAAGACGAGAAAAAACAAGGGTAACCTTATAAATCAATAATCACAAAAAATATTTATCATAGTTGGGTTATGTTAATATTATTAAAATGATTGAAACATGTTATAAACAAATTATTCATAATGTGTGTTTAATGTTTATGATGATTACAGCATTATTACTTATAGAATAGCACGAGTCATGAGTCATGACAAAACAGAGATTATTTGATTATGGTTAGAATTATTATTTCAAAAAATTTTGATTGTTCATTTTGTATTACGTTTTATTTATTTAAAAATATTATACATCAGTATTTTAGACGGTCGAGTTGTTATTTATCGTCTAATTTATATTGTTTAGTATTTCGGATAATCTGCGCTGGGGCTGTTATAAATGTTATAATAATATTATTATGATATGAGATGAGAATAATATTGTAATTTCATACAAAGATGTGTCACTGCAGTATGATTTCTGTGTTATTTACTTTGTATACGACACATCGACACGAACGCACACCCGTATACATTGCGGATTAACATCTGGGAAGAATGTTTTTAATACGAATACTATTATATATTTGTTTTTTATTATCTACAATTCGAAATTAAGTTAAAAACTATTTAAAACAATGATGAAAAAAAAAAGTCAATCGATGGCCTTCACTCAATTTGATAATGTTTAAAGTGTGTTTAAATGAATATAATAATACTATTTAATTCTTAATTTAACAATGAGATTATACGTAATATTAATAACAATAATAACATTAATAATCATAGAAGGTTTATATTAAAATTATAGATATATAAAACTAAAAATTGCCCAAATAATATAATTTATATAATATATGTATGATAATAATGTATTGTAATAAATATGTATCTTTTTTTCAAACGATTACACACAAGCGAGACTGAAATAAAAAACAATTTTTATCAAATTTTATCAATAATTAAAATGTAATATGAATTTCACATGGTTTAAAAGCTATTAAACTTACCCGCACTCTCTCATTTCTAGGATATTTTGATTTATTTACTACTTTTTTTTCGTTTTTCTCATTAGTAACCAACATGTTTGTATTTTTTCCTTCCTTTTCTACCGATTCATCATTTGTGATTTTTATTTCTGCTACAAAAACACGAATATTATAAAGTTTGATTAATACACATGGTAGGTATTATACATTAATACCATATTTTGAAGGGATAATATTTATTTATTATTAATTTATTATTATTATTATTATTATTATTATAGTTATTATAATTCAAATCTAGTAAACATGAAAAATTAATAAGATACAATATTTAAAATATTAAATGCAATATCATGGTACTTTTTTTTCGGTAGAGGAAAGCAAAGATAAAAATTTACTCCATCCCTTCCTCCAGATATAACAGTAGAAATCTTAAATCTCTCAAAAATAATTAATAAATGTATTTAACAGATATTCATAGAATAAAAACATTATTTTTACTAATTATTGCATAAAGTACATAAATTTTACATTTTTTCTATTATATAATATGTTGAAGTATTGTCAATGTCTGGGTTAACAAACATTACCCTATAATATGATTTCATGAATCATGATTTATCGTGCAATGAATAATGATTTGCTGATATATCATTGTGTATAACTCAAATATAATAAATAAATAATGGTCAAGTTGTCGCACGCAGATAATGGTTAACTACAATGAAACTCTTTCATAGCTAATAAAAAGGATGCATTGTAAATATCACATAGAAATTGACACGTGTTGGTGGCAATAAGGTACACGACGTGTGACTTTCTTGTGTACCACCAACGATTAGGCTAGTTCCGTGGGATTGCAGAGGCCTTTGATGGTGCCACCATCCTTTCTGGCTTGATTGACCATGTCGTCTCTTTCGCCAATGAATGCGCATCAATCATTCGAGCAACACCTCTCAACACAAAATTCTGCGAGCGACAACTGGACTTGACTTTAAAAAAATCTAAGCCAGTGTTGTTTTTTATTTTGACTTCAGTATTCAGAGAGATGTTCTATAATTTGTGTTACCTTACTTGTTTCTGATAAGCATAACATATTATATACTGCTGTGAACAGGCAAGGTGCATGATCATAGTGTGTAGTAAAGTAATACAAATGAAAGGACAATTTATATTGCAAAATATCAATTTAGAAACAAAATAAACAATAATATTTATAGTGTATACTCTATTATATATTATGTAAATATAATATATGAATGTAGATAGTTTAGGTACTTGGTTTATTATCATTGAACGATTTTTTATCCCCTTTAATTTGTTGATCGATCACATTTGTGTTGATTTCCTGATAATTTTAATAAAAAATTTAAATTAAAATATTGTTCATAATTACCACAAAAAAAAAAAAAAAAAAATCGTGAACAGCATTACTTTTACGCTTCCTTTGACTACGTTTAATACTCCCGAATCGTTATCATTGGCTGGAGTAATTGACGTAAATGGTTCAATATTCTCTTTTCGCTCTTCGATTTTTTTTTTCACAACCCTTAATGGAGGCAGCGAATCAGATAATTTTATTTGTTGTAAACCGTTATTGGAGGTATCGTTTTCGAAAGGCTCGGCGTGAATTAAAGTATGATTTCCTCCACAACTGACCTATAAAAAATTAATAAAACTATAATCCAGAAGATTTCAAATATTTATTGATGGATAGTAAATAATAATGAATAATATACCATCTGTACTTTTAAACTTTTATCAACAAACGCCAATACTAGCATTGGAGTTGTTATTTGATTGTCATCTATACAGAGCTTTCCGTATTTTCCATCGCCACACATAAACAGTTTACCACTTGCTGAGACGATAATTAAAAAAAATATTTAATTAAATTAGTTATAGTTACTAGATAAAATATATATAAGGTAATTACGAGTAAGATACGTACACAGTTTAATTATAAAATATTTTAAAACTATTAAAATTACATAGTATAGGTACATTTTTGTATGCAGTAGCTTAAAAGTGGATAACGAATTATATTGGGATCATTACTCATTAGTACTACATAGTAGACATACACTTAAACAGTAAATATTATAAAATTATGCGAAATTATATTCGTTAAACTTAAATATTCAAAATCGTATAGTTCAAAGTTATAATTCTTAGTACTAACTATAATAATTAATAATATAAATTAAATACATGGCTTAAGCAAATCAGTGCATTTTGTCTTTTGAAGATTTATTATTTTTTCGATATTAACTATACTCAGTTTAAAATATAGATAATTTTATTTTTATAACCAAATACTTTAAAGAATAATAAACGAGAAATTGCAGGTTTTTCTATGTATTTTTGTTGAATGTCAATCCGCTGATTCTTCTTTTACTGTATAACTTTAACGTATTTTGTCAATTTTGCTTGTAACTTATAACACCTGCTATAAATTTTTCTTGTATTTCTATGTTCTCAATGCTCATGTTCATGCCAAATGTTATATCTATTTTGTAATTTATTCTAACCGTTGTGTACATTGTACTTTCTTTATGTATAACACAAAATAAAAATAACAGATTTTGAATTATTGCGTAGGTCATTGACATGTGTAATGACTAATGACTATTAGACATGTTAAATTTAAATTTAAAGAACAATTTAAAGTAAAGGTAGACAGGTAGGAATCTAAAGATACATTTTCTATATTATCATTTTATTTTGATAAGTTAAATTGATTTTTTCTAAAAATATAATGTATAATTCTAATTATCATACTGGCGAATAGTACAAATAAGCACGTCGTATCAATAGCTTTAACTTAGTTCAAATGTTTTGAAATATTATTATGTATAAAAATAATAATAAATTATATTTAGGTACTTAATTTGAACAGTATAAAGGCTGTATGGTTAATATTTTTTGAATTAAAATAAATTAACAAAAACCGTTTGTGGAAAAATCTTTTCTTTTTTTTTGTTTAAATATCTAATTTATCAAAGCTTAAACTTAAACTAGAAATATTTATGTTTATATACTCAGGAGACTCCGCAATCATGTCAATGCAATACGGTATGTTTAAAATACTAAAAAAAGGATGTGAAATCGTTTTTAAATCGGAGCATACCATATTATTTAAAGGTAGGTACATAATGTGTAAATAGAAATTATTTACCGGTAATAAAAGCACTGTGGTTCTGGCCGCATACAATCTGAATGATCGGTTCATTTGTAATGGAACAAGGGTACAAATGACCTTGTGATGTAACACTTCGTAGACCTATTTGTCCACAGTCATTGTTACCGCAAACGAACACTTTTCCCACATCTATAAGGTCAGCGTGACATTGAAATTTGTACATTTTTTTTTATTATTATATCTATTAAAATAGGCGTGTGTACCTATGTGCATAATTTTTGTATTACTACGTATGTTATAACTCATGTACATTGATAACACCATTTTAATAATGAACGATTTGTGTACTGTTTAAAATGATGATTTTATTTACCGTTCAATGCAATCGTGTGGTTAGCCCCACAAGCGACTTTAACGATCTTTTCGGTCGTTTCGACCCGGCTAACTGACCACATGCCATGGCCAAGTTTCCCATACTCCCGATCGCCGCAAGTATACAAGTCTCCAACTTCTGAAAACCGCCACCGTGATATAAGATGGTAATAATAGTAATAAATTAATAACAAACATAATATATGTATTTTAAATTTGACTTGCTAACTTACGATGACGCCACTAGCGGATTTTCAGAATTGCTATAAAATAGCACTATGTATTTTTAACTAACATATCCAACTGACCAAGTCTCTTTGCCCCCCACAGCTATAATAATTTATAGCACAAAAAGTGCTTTCAACAATATTTTGTTACCTATGATCTTAAAGCTGTATCCCGCAGCATTTTTGGTGCATCTCTCACTCATTTAAACTTTAGACGAAAACGTATAAATAGATAAAAAAAAAAAAAAATATTTGTTCAAAATTCAATATTTATACACAAAAAACTTCACAGATGTACATACAATAGTAGTATGTATCAAAAAAAAAGTCTTGAATTGCCAAATACGAATTACTTACTCGTGACGAACGCGGAGTGAATGTGTCCACACGATATGTACACGACGGGTTGAGTGATCGGCACAATAGTTGGCACACTGACGTTAACCGAATCATCGTTCAACGAGTTCAGTCCTAGTTGTCTATTGCTGTTTGAGCCCCAGACGTAAACATCACCGTTTTCTGATAGGAAAAAAAATACAATTTTCAAATAATCAGAATTCCATATTAATACACAAAAAATGATCTATTTTTCCCTTATTTTCTATATTAAAACTATTATACATTTTTAAACTTAAAATGCGCTTATACTTATAAAATATAAGTTGCACATATCACATCGTTTTCAAGTAGTGATGGACTAATATAAAAATTATTTAATTGTTTCTATATATTCACATTGTTATCTTTTAGGACATAATTAATCTAAACCATATGAATTCATATTTTTATTTAAGTTTTTCTAAGTAATTATTTTATTGTATGTAAAGGAATTGCCCCATAAAATTAATATAAATAAATAAATATATATATATATAACCTTATGTCCACTTAAGTTGTGATTATTATATATTTAATATTACTATTATTATCAATAATTTTATGCAAAATAATTAAACCTATAAGGACCGCCGTATGATACGATCCGGCGGATAGTTGAATGATATTCTTATCGTTGAAACGGGTAATTTCAATGGGAACATCACTGTAAGTCACGTTCGCCGCCGATTTTCCAAGTTGGCCGTCGCTGTTATTGCCAAATCCATAAACAATATTATTTTCTGATAAAAAAAAAAAAAAATAAATAATAATTCTCGCAAGATCAATTAAAGACAATCATTATAATACATATAATTTTTATCAATTACTATCCACAGCACTTTTTTAGTACCTAAAATGTAACAATAATATTATATTGTGGCTAAAAAAAAAATTACTTTTAATAATTCGTATCATTTTTTCATTCACTATTGCTTATTACATTTTATAAATAATTGTCTTATGAAAAACATAATATACTGTAGGTACCTACTGTAATGTTAATAACTTATGTATAAGTTGACGTATATACATAGATTTAATATATTTTTTTTAAATGGGATAAATAGATAATATATCATATTGAAATAATTTTAGCTAATATCAGCTTAATTATAAATGTTAGTTAATTAATATTGTTTTAAAATTAGGTTTAGTTTAAAAATATTTTAAAAAACCAAGTCAATATTTTTTATTAACTTTCAGCTTAGAACCTTAATGAATTTTTCTAATTTTACAATGTTATTTATTTTTAGATTTCTTATAATAGAATTTGTAGCTTTATAGATATTACGGCTGTTCGTTCTAATATAAGGTTACATAACTTGCAGTGTCTTCGTGTATAATAAATGCATTATCTGTATAATATACAATAATAAAACGATTGCAAAAGTACAAATAAAGGTGAAATACATTGAATACAATTTAAATAATAAGATATGAACAATTATATTAAATTAGGAACTCATCAAAAGTCATGACCTAATTAATACCTAATTTACTATAAAATATATTATGCATTTTAATAATGAACTTACTAATATTAAACCGTCAAAAAGTTAGATGAAATGTGTTTTAATATGATAACGACAACTTCAGCCAAATCGGTTCACGACTGTAGGTCATCTGTTCATGCAAATGCAAATAACAAAAAGCTTTATCCGGTGGGTATTATTTATATGAAATGACTAATATTTCTAAACATATATCTATAGCGGTCACCCATCTGAGGTCTTAACGTCGTGTATGTTTTGGCATTACTAAATTTTAGCTTTAAAATAAGTTTCTTGCGTTCAACTATTTGAATATAAAAAATAACAAGGATTTGAAAATCTCTTGTAAACCAAACAAAACGTGCTTAATAAATATGAAAGAATATTAGTTATAAACGGAATATGTATTATGTAATATGATCACTTCAAGTCATTGTAAATAATATTTAATCAACAAAAAATGTAGGTGTGTGTTTAAAAAATAGCTTAAGATAGAACTTTATTAAGACTATACTTTCTGGAATTCGTTCAAAAAAATTCACAGATTTTCTGTGTAAAGAATAATAATATAATAATAATAAACTTGCAACAATAATATACATATATGAAATTTTTAGTTTATTAAAATATTGCAGTAGCACCCTCTAAAAGTTCAGCTTGCGCCGAAGGAGGAGCCATTCTTATCAATTGGCAATTTTGAATGAATACATAAAAGAAAAATTTAAAAATAAGTTAACATCATTTATAATTTAAAAAGTAGGTATAAAATAATATTTCAAGAATTTCTAAGAATAAAAATATATATATAACCATATTATCAGAAAAACTTATTAATTCCGTGTTATTATTTATTTTGATTTTAAGGAGGTCGTTATAAATACAATAAATAATAAGACAAGTTACTTGTGATACACTATAAGATATATTACGATCTTCACAATAATGATTATCTATTTTGACCTTCTGAATTCCGTCATTTAAAAATTATTTAACTAGATTATTTGGTATTACTCGTATACCTATCATGTTTAATTTTTGAAGTAATATTTCATGACTCACACTATCGAAAGCTTTATGTACATCCAAGAAGATATTAAAATTATAAACCTTAAAAGATAATGTTCAGTAGATAAATCTTTTCTAAAAACAAATTGATTTTTAGAAAAAAATAATTTTTTATTAAAGAAGTTGAGCATTCTATTTTTAATGCATTTTTCAAAAATTTTAGAATATTTTAAATTTTTTTTATTTTTCAAAAATGTGTCGAAAAAAATATTCATCAAAATTTAAAATTTGAATTTATCAAATCAACAAATTTCCAACATAAAATAACTTCTTATCGATAAATTTAAATAATTAAATGTATTTAATGTATTATTAGTAATAAATTTAAATCTCATAATTATATTTTATAATCGTAAAACAAATAGTAAAATTAAATAAGATAATTGCAGCCTGCAGGTAATTTAAATGTATATACAAGGTTTCAACCAGAATTCATATAAGTTCTTATATTTAGTTAATACATTTTTGTCTTAACTTTACTTTTTGCATTGATACATTCTTCAACCTTTTTAAATGTTTTTAATTAGTTATTTTTTATGTTCAGAGCGTGCTTAGTCAAGACTTTATAGCAACTACTAAAAAGTTAAAGTCTATATAAATTACCTGTTGAAACAATTGTATGTGACCGTCCACAAGCTATATGCTTTACCTTATCTGGTTTTAAACCTATAAAAATATTCTCGATTACATTAATTTCCTAACGAAGAGTCCAATTCTTACTTTTAACGCAATTAGGCTTGTAAACATTTTCAGTGTGCCCTAGTCCAAGTTGTCCAAAACTATTTTTTCCAAAACAAAATACTCTTCCATTTTCTAAAAAAGAAGTTTTCAATCATGCATTATATTTCAGCACAAAATATTTAAATTTATGCTAACAATTATGATATGTAATATATATATATACACGCATATATATATTATATGCGTGTATATTTTTTGAGTTGTTATATATTTTTTTAATAGTTATTAATTCATCCCTATCACGCGATAATATTTATCTTGCAGAGTGTAAAAATAAATAATCAAAGTTATCGATTCAAAATTCCCATTTTTAAAATGTATAGTAACTAATAAAATAAAATCCCTTTTATCAAAACTTTAAAACTTTAAGCATTTAAAAATTTATAGGATTTTAGGTTCTATAAAACTAAATTATATTTAACTTTAAAAATTATGTTATATACATGTCATTTAGACGATTCTAAAATTATTTTATCATTATATTTATTATAGTATTTTATTTTTATTATTATTGTTATTGAATATATTATATTTTTTTATTTTGTAAATATTAATACTTAATATCTTTATAATGTTCTATTTAGAGTAATTTTATATAATTATTCTATATTTGCATATTCGACTAAGTGTCTAAGTATACTCGTAAAATATTTTCAGTTTTCATCACAAGAAATTTAATTCAAAACGGCACATACCCACGGAACTTTGATAGCAGTTAAGGTTAACACACCTTGGTTATAATTCATGAAGAACTAATGGTGTTGTACTGTTATGTGAATATGATAATCATAACATTCATAACATTTGCACTATGACGTGTGAATGTGTAATAAATATTAATAATTCAGACTTGGTCAAAAAAGTCATACGTAAAGTATATTATGCACTATACACGAAAACCGTGTATGTATGAATAAACAAACGAAAATGCGCGAGTCGAATCTTGTTAAGTCGAAAATTATTTATAACATAGTGGTCAAAAACCATATAATAGTTTCTAATGTATAACATCACTTTATAATTTTTTATGAACGGTTCAGTTGGTTTCGGAACTCCGAGTAGCCAAGTCTATTATTGCTAGTTGACTACAATAAATATTATTTACTTCTTAAAATTATAGAGTTGAAAGTGATCTGCTCAATGATCGTTATTATTATTATTATTATTATTATTAAATATAATAGTATTAGTATTTATACGTAGTATTAGATACTATAATAATATTACACGCTTAAATAAATTTATAATATCGTTAATACATATGATGATTCATTTAAGTGTGTGAAGTAATTAAAACTTTTTTTAAAAATTATATATTTATATATAATTTTTTAATTTTTTTCTATTTTTAATTTCATATTCCGAAAAAAAATATTTTTTTTTTACCTAATAATTAGATAAAATTATACAAACAAGGATAGCAGAAGATAAATTTATATATTGTATCTTTTAACATCTTAATGATAGTACCTATCTACAATCTAATATTTTATCTAGATACCATTTTCTTTAGTGTCTTAAAGTTAAGATAAAGATAACCAAAGAAGTAAAGTAGTGCACCGACATTTTGCGGGATGTCCTTATTTGGCTTTAATAAACTTATCTAACCTTTAAATACTGATAAATAATAACTAATCATTTAAAATCCAATTTTTAAGTATCAAAATATTTCAAAAAATATTTTTTTAGGAATATTAAATTAAAAATATATTTTATCATTTAAATAAGCCAAAATCTTAAAAAATGTAAAAAAAAAATTGTTTTGAAATAACATTAATTTATGCAAGAAATAATTGTTATAAAAAAGTTATAACTTTTTTAAAATAATGGTTGTAGACACTCAAATGGATCACCACATATTGATGTATACGTGCAAATTTAACGCCGGTGGACAAAATAGTGCTTGTAAAAATAACGTTTAAAATGTCAAAATCTTACTACAGACGATTCCGGAATGTTCTTCCCCACAACTTATTTCAATTACTGGATCATTTCTAATGAAAAAGTGACTTGGAATATTGTCTGCAAAACTACTTTTTCCATACGTGAAAACTGCTCCGGTTTCTGAAATCCGATTTATATTTCAAATTATAATTTTATGGCATAAAACAGATTATTTTGTTTCTCTACCGTGGTTTTACATTAGGTATGTAAAACACCACTGATGACACCTGCATTTAAACTTATCCCTAAAGCCTCGTGTAACATATAATTTAAACGCTTTCAGAGTTACATATTATATTATTATAATGTTTGCCGGTTTTAGGAATTGATACATAGAACATAATAATTACGAAACATTCAAATATACGATAGATTATTTATATAATTGTACACTATTTATGGTCGAAAAAAAACATACGGTGTAAGAAATACGTTTTGAAATAATTATCAAATAAAATTTCTGGAGTACCGACTTATTTTATAATAATTCTATTAAAATCATGTTTATTCGTTATTTTTTATCAATGTTTTTATTTTGTTTAAACATATAACTAATACAAGACTTTACATAATAATAATAATATTAATACGTATTCCACTACTTTTTGTTCAATGTTTTGTACATTTTTATGTTACGTAGGTACTAAACAAATAATGTATTTAATGGAAATATTGATTTTTAATAAATAAAGGTACGCTCAAAGTTTAATTTATTTTATACAATTATTATTACACTCGACATTTTATATGTAGGCATATATATTGATTTAATCACCTGTAATTTAAAGGAAAAACGAAAACAATCCTCGTTAGCTACGATAATGTATCATATTATTATTAAGCTTATATCGTGCTTAATTAAAAACTAAATAATAATAGTGCAAAAACAAATTTTAATCTTTAGATTTTTTGTTCGAACACACAAAAAATAAGTATATTTTTTACAGGCATATAAAAATGAAAATTTATTCTTAAAAAACATCAAAATAAATTTACATAGTTATTAATTATTAAATTATTATGAATCGACAATGAACAAATAATTCTTACACAAAATTATTGTTTCATTTGTCTATAAAAGGATAGATTTATGGCATGCATATAATTATATTGCATACGATTTAATTCGCAACATCGATTCATTTGGATTTCAATGGAATATGTTTCTTTAAATTAATATAATAAAAAATCTAAAACTATAGTCAGTATAGATGCATAATATACTTATGTAATTCAATTATAGGAGAATGAAATGTGTGACAAATGCAAAATTTGGTGAGATGGTATCCTCTCTTGATCCATTTCACTCGAAAATAACAATAAATGAAATCATAAATGATTGCCACAAATTTTTCATACATTTATTTGATATGTATTATTATTAGTAATAAATAATAATATATTCTGTCGTTGTACTGTAATAACTCGCGGATTTTTACCATCACCTTATATGAAACAGGTTTACAATAATTTTATTGCGACAGACGAATTTATGCGATTATAATATTATATATACATGCAGACCAGCTGCCTTCCTTACCCGGTATCACGTCTTCTTCGGACATGTCGATGACCCGCGATTTTCTACACTAATATTTTCCGAATCAAAATCCTTGCGCGTACACGAACGAAGCGTGGTGATTTACAGGCAACCAGAAAACGTACCGCACATTGTGTTTACGGTAGTTACACACGTGGTTGCCAAGCGAATATGACTACCTACACCTGAACATTATAACAACTATAATACTTACCATATCCCATACCACCCTTCAGGCAACAGTTATTCGACAGAAATGCGCACTGATAATGTACATATGTAATTTGTATATAACAATATATTGGCGTTAAAGCATTTATTATTCTGTATTCAAAACACATACGTATAATATAAATCTAAAAAAAAAAAAACAACATTGCAGACTTGTTGTATAGTACACGCATATGTATGCACAGGGTAGTTCTTAATTCTTATATAAAATTCACCAATTTTTCAACTTAGCATTTGATCAATCTTGTAGCAGAATATAAATGTATTTAAAAGTAAATTAGTAAATATGTTAGTACGATATAAAAATAATAATGGAAGTACCTGTACTATAACCTAGTATCTACTATAGAACACCATATTCTTGATTTAATGAGTACAGCCGATACATATTATTGTTTCAGTGGTCCCCAACCTATTTTTAATACCATCAAATAACATGCCATCCAGTTTGATTTATTTAATGTGTAAACTACATGTTATGTAGTGCAATAATATTAACAGTAAAAAAAAAAAATAATAATAATAATAATAAACAATAATTATCTTATGTTAAACAAAGGAGAGTAAATTAATACAAATAATAACTTGAGTTAATTAATCAACATTAAGAATGCTAAGTTATAATTTAAGAGTTAATAAAAAATAAATTCAACTCTACAAATTTAAAGTTAGTATAGAGAAAAATAAAATAATTAATCTATTTCAACAAACAACTTTAATTTTATTTTTAAATAATTATAAAATTATTCTTAAACAGCATCCTAATATTATTCATTTTAATGCACACTATAGCTATAGTAATATTTAAGAAAATAGGAAATTATACATTTGTAAAATTAAATAATTAAACCAAAGATTAGTTATTTGTCAATTGTCGATTTCTATTTAAAATATTTTATACAGTCCAATTAAATAACAATAATAATATTAATTAATTAGATTAAACTACAATTTACTAAAAAACTTTTATTAAAAAACTGTGAAATTAATTAATCACAATTAATATAATTATAAATATTGATAGTTATTATTTATTTAATTAGAAAAATAACTAACATTTTAAGTTAAAATAAATTTAAAAATAATGAACTTTTTAATTAGTTAGTTAATACACACCTTTGCATATAAATAAATAAATATATAAAAAAAATTAACTTTTACTAAATACATTAAAACCGTTGTTTTATTTCGAAAAGACAAGATAGTGAAATTTCTTTGAAATTAAGATGAAACATTGTAAAAAAAAATTTAGGTATCCTTGAAACCTTGACTTCTACTCTACAAGTTGAAAAGTGAATAATATTTTTTAAGGCTACATGTTTTGCAGATTAAGAATCAATGTACTATAAGTGTCAGAATCCTAACTTTTCAAGGTCTTATGAAATTTGACCTATTTAAACTATTATCAGTACTTAAAATGATAATAATTAATCAAAATTTACTGTTGATTTTCATTTAATCGTTTGAATTTACTGGCTTAACAACTAAAAACACATTTTAAACAGGTACTTTGGAAATTTTATAAATCGTAAAGTAAACATAACCAATTCCTCCTAAAAATAAACAAGCTTCTATTTAAATTAATATTACGTTTGTTGTTAATAAATAAAAATTAATTTGAATATTAGAAAGTTTATTTAAATTAATAACAATGTCGTCTAGAGAAGCATCAATAGATGAACAAATACATGAAACACGGGAAGAAGATAGTATTTTATCTTTCTATCCGGCAGAAATCAATGTGGAAGAAATCGATGATCCTAATATTTCAGAAGTAAAGAGCATAATATCGTAATTCCATATAGTTATTACACAAGTATTTTTAATTTGTAAATCTTCATTTTGTTACTTTCGTCATATTATGATGTTTATCATCTTAAATAACTTTAAAAGGAAAATTACATTAAATTAATCTAGCAGCTTAGTTGATATTGAATAAGTATAAATTAAGTATTTATATATGAACATTTTTTATATCTTATTCTTTTTTACCTTTTAACTCTAAAAAATAATATGATTGAATAAAAGTTTGTTTTATTTAGTTTTTTAGTCAATCTTTATTTTAACAATTTTAACACAGTGAAACACTTCTAAATAACGGAACTCATGGTTACCAAATTTTCCGCTCTTCAGAGGGGATATTATTTTTAAATTCAAGAGTAAATGTGTAAAAATAAGAAACATGCGGTAGGTCAAATTAAATTATAATATTATTATGTAATGTTTTGATAATACATGCTTAAATAAATAATGTAAAAGAATATAAAAAAGGATTGCATACCTACATTCATAAATATAATTCAATTTGGTGTGTTATATATCGATTTTTAAACGAGTTTGTTATCGACATACAATAGTGTAAAGATATTTTTCTATCGCTGTTTTATTATTATTTTTAAATTAAGATAGATGTACATTATTTAGAGGTTTTTCTATTGAAAAGTAGTTAAAATATCCCCATCCCCCAAAAATCTTACGCTAGTGACAGGTGTCCATTAAGGATGGTTTCACTATAAATGTTTTAATAATATGTTTTTAATAATTAAAATCAATGAGAAAATATTTAGAAAATAAACATAAACATAAACATTCATAGAAACCAAATTAAAAAGAAAACTATTTTGCACTTATTGGGAAACCAAAAACATTTCATCTTTTTACTTTCCTTAATGTTTTAGATCTTGAAAAATAATCTGTTCTGCTATTAAGCATATAAATATAATTTTACATTTTAAATTGAGCCACAAATATTTAAATACAACATAAAACTAAATTTTACTTCTAGTATTTTTTGTACATATATTCCTTCTAAGAAATAACCTGAATGCGTTTCAAATTTCTTTTCATAATATTCTAGATGTGTTCGTTAAAGGTTTATCACCTTATTACGTTGTAACATAAACAACTTAAAAACGAGGTAAATTGAAATATAACTCTAAAGTTTGACTTTTATTTATTAAAAATTTCAATATTTTCCAATATTATTTATCTTTGTTCAACCACTATATTAATTATTAAACTTTTTACAACATTAAAAAATATTTTTTTTTGTTTTTACTAATTTAATGATTCCTACAAAATTATTAATTATTTTTATCTTTACCAATATAATTTAATATATAACGAGTAAACATTAAATAGTATTGATTATTGGAAATTTAACTAAATATATTATAAAACAGGAAAATATTATCAAGTATGAAAACACGTACAGAATGGAATCAAAAAAACCATTTGACGAACGTCTAACCAAGGTAGTATTAAAAACTGAAATTGAAAACCATTTCAACAACGAAACCAAATATGACTCAAATGAAGCAGTGCAAACCTGTTCTAATATTTCATTAAATGTAAGAAATAAAATTCGGGAAATGGAATTTGATAGGTAAAATTATTTGATATTTTACTTAAATAGCGTATTTCATCGTAAAAATATTAATTACTAGAACAGATAATTAAGTTAATTTTAATATACCATGTAAGAAATTATTTTAAAATTTTAATAAATAACTATGATATTTATTTGATTAGTTTTTTTCCGATGAAGCATCTGATTAAAATACATTAAGTTTTTTATTTTCTAATATTAAACTAGTTAGAATTTGTTTTATCTTTAATAAAATATTCAAGTTATTTTTAAATGTTAAAATATAAAATTACTATTGAAATTATGCATCTAAACGAGTACACATTTTCTTTAGACAATAAATGGAAAAGCAGAGTACCGAAAAAGATTTTTTTTGATTAGACTACAACAAGAATTGAAAAATAGTATAACCTAACCTTGAATAAATAGTATTACATTTTCTCATTGAATGTTGATTAAAATCTAATATAGATAGATTTTGTACATCATGACGTATTGTGATTTATAATCATAATAGATGAATATACTAAAAAAAAAATAAATAAATAATAATAATTCAATTAACATTTTTACTGAAAGCCCAAGTCTATTCCATATTTTATAATGTAGTTCAATCTGTAATTCATGATTACCTGTAGTATATAAATATAACATCAACATCGACGACAAAATATTTCACAGTACGGTCTATGTACAAATTATTTTTCAGGAACGTTCATACTCATTAAAAAATAATTGTTTTATAATTTATAATTTTTTCAAAAGTAAAATTTGTTTTTAAAATATAATTCTCAATTCTCAACTAACAGGTTAGGTTGAAAAATGTTCAAATTGAAATTGTATTAACTTAGGAATTTTTTTTGTTAGAGTTACGTTGCCATAGCACCAAATAACTTAAAGCCCTGCATATGTATACATTTTTTTTGTGTTTTTAAATTTTTGTATACTATTTATCATTATGCTTAACATTTTCAAATCAATAGTTAGAACTTGGACTACTAGAAAATGCACTTTCGATATGCTAAATTCTATTTACCATTTACATTTTTATATTATTTCAGGTATAAAATTGTGTGCATTGTTCAAATTGTAGAAAAAAGAAGCCAAGGAATGTTATCAAAAGTAAAATTTTTACGAGATTTAACAAAAGATAAATATGTTAAAACCAAGTTTGAAAATAATAATTTAGTTGCTACAATTGTTGTAGGTGCATTATATTACGAATAAAATCTATAAAATATTGTTATTTTACCAGGAAACTAATAATGAATAAGACTTAATTATTAAAAAAAAAATGTTGATCTCAAAATATCGGGTTTTTTTTATTATTTATTTAATAAGTATAAAAAAAATATAGATAAGCCTATTAGAAGGCAACAAATTTTGCTATGAGCTTTTTGCTATTTTACACTGCTCGTACGAACTATAAATGCTCATTAAAGTAGTAGTATTTTTATATTCATAACGCATCTATTTTAGTAGGAAGATTTTAGAAGTTTAAGTAGAAATCTTTGCCTCTAGTCATTTTTTTCTATGTAACACAAAATTTCAGTATTTCCCAAAAACCGTAATATATATTCACAGAATTTTTTTTATGAATACTACACATCATTAACCATAGATTTTATCCTCACAGAAAAATATTTATCGGATACATGTTACTACACATAATCTATTTAAAAATATTTATTTTATATAAAAATTCGCAGTAAATATTATATATTAGGATTTTTAAGAAATACTGAGATTTTGAGTTATATGAAGAAATAAATAACTGTGAATGGAATAATCCCAATTAAACTTAAATAATCTCCCTGCTAAAAAATTCTATGAAGATACAAATACATATTACTTGTTGAAATAATACAATACGTGTAATGGAATTAAAAATGTAGGTTGTAATAAAAAAATAAAAATCAAAAAAACCATGATAAAAATGTCATGTATTTTTAAAAATCTACAGGTAAAATACTTAAGACGCAGTGTTTCTCAACCTGGGGGTCATCACCCCCTTAGGGGTCACCAACTTATTAATGAGGGTCGCTAACCTATGGTTTAAAATTGAAACACAAAAATACAAAAATTTAAAAGCTCAAATAATAAAATAAAGTAATGAAAAAAAATAAAATTAATAAATATAAAATAGTAAATACTGTATTGTGTATAGTACTATTAAGGTAATTAATAATAATCTATTCGAGTATATAAAAAAAATGTAGGGGATCGCTAAAAAATCGAAATTCAAAAACGGGGTCGCCATAGTAAAAAGGTTGAGAAACGCTGAGTCTTGGGGTATAATACTACAACATTTTTTTTGAAAAATCGTAAAAATTAACGATGCACATAAGTGCATTTATTTAAAATAGATGATTTGTAGGTATTACAATCAGAATTAAAGTTGTTTTAGTACCATTATTCATTGAATATATCAAAGAAAGAATATAACTAAATAGTACCTAGGTAGATACCTACAAGAAAAAAAAAATTTTATCAACTTTATAATATTGGCAAATTCAATAAAAATCGAATTGGTGACGAAATAGAGAGAATACAATCAGCTTCAACTCACTCAATTTTTCATATCCCTAAATGTACACCATATAGTTGTGTATAACTAATCTAGTTCTATATAAACTGACATATTTCTCGTCGAAGAATTGGCTTCTTGTGTGTGAAAATACTTAATGCTGCATGTTTGATTTTTAATATGGTTCACTCTATAATAAAATGTCAAATATAAAATATCATCTTAATTTCAAGGACTACGAGTTATTAAATACGTTAAACTTTAACAATACGTCACAACGTCTACTGTCTCCACCTCTCCAACAGATAATGTAGGAAAACAACTTCCACCCCGATAGATTTTTGGATAATAATAGAAAAGGTGAAATCATTAATCATAAGACAGAACGTATAGAACGCAATAATACATCAGTATTTTCGTTATGTATTTTTAAATTTTAGACATTACTCGTTTTAATTTTTATGATTATTTTTTGTTTTTTTTGTTTTCGTAGCCAAATCTTCGAAATCTTATATTTAGGTCATTGGTCTATACAATTTTCAGTACATAATAAAACTAAGTAGTTATAGTTATAGTTTTTTTTTTTATATAATTTCATTTTAGGTTCAAATATAATATTAACATTGATTAGAAAAACTCACATAAATAAATATGAAATGTATATGCTCGCACATAATATAGGTATATCATTTTCATAGATATTCCGATTTAAAAAATCAAATTAAAACTAATAATAATTAAAATCAAAAATAATTCAATATAAAAATTAAATAAAAAAAAATTACTTTATTACCTATAATTATCTGTATTTTACAATCATATTATGTTATGATATAGTTACCTATTTAATCTTGGTTATAAATTTTCAAAATCAAATTGCTTTTTTTGTATGTGCGTAAAGAGGCTAACATTTATGAGAAAACGCGATGTATAGCTGTATAGATACTATTTAATCTTCAACTGAATATCGATCGTAGTTTATACGTGTTGAAAGCTAGTCGCTAGTATAATCGCTAAAATACTATTTATTTTATACTTTCCATGTATCTATAATATTTTTGGCGGGTTTTTAAATCCTATACTTACTAAAAAAAAAAAAAAACTTATTATTATGATTTGATAAATAGGTACAATTATTTATTTATTTAATTTTTTTAACATAACAGTTTAAATAATATCTGAAAATAACATAGATTTTATAACATAGTTTTATAATATTCAAATTGTTAGTCTAATTTTTTTTATAAGTGTGACTAGATTCTACACTCAACAATTTTTCAAATAAATTGCGTATAATAATAACAATTATAATAATAATAATAATAATAATAATGATAATAATAATAATAATAATTTACGTTTGTTATTACGTACGTTAAACTATTATATATTAGTCATAGTAGGTGCACGATAATAAATTAATATTGACGATAACAATTTATATAAATATATACAGACGAAAGTATAAAAATGTTAAATGATTTAAATAATACACATCCTTTTTCTAACATTTCTATCTTACATTTTTAAAATTTAAATATAATAATTGAATAGCTCATTTATTGATTTATTTTGGCTTCACACTTAGTTTTCGGTCATAACCATATGCATCAAGCGCTTGAAACTGCCGCTTTGATGGATTTCTTCAGTGGAAACGTAATTGGCCTGTAAAAACACTACACGATTAAATCAACTTATTCTATTATAAAAATTAAATTATTAACACTTACATTTGGATGTGGTGCAGTCGGGTGAGGTTGTGGAGATACGCGCTATAGAGTAAAAATAAATAAAATTATTATACCTATACAATCGCAACTTTATAATTTTATATTATTAAAAAACTAAACTAGTCCTTCGTTTTAGTAACAAATAATAAATCGATAACTGAATATTTTTATTAGAACAGAAGTATAAGTAGTTAAATTATGATTCAAAAATAAATTTTACGATTCGTGTTTTTTTTTTTTAAACATATTCTACGTGGTATTTCAAATAGTGTTTTAATAATTATAATTTATTGCAAATAATTTAACTCAATAAAATTAATCCTAATTTTATACAATTTAAATAACTGAAAACAATTATTTTTTAGTGTTAATCAAATAAAATTTGTTAAACGATTCAATATAAAAATTATAATGTTATTTATTTTAAACAAAAATATTTAACACAAAATTATATTGGTTTTTTCATTAAATAATTGAAATTAAATCAATTATAAATAATGGATAACATTAAGACTTAAGATTTTAAAAATTAAAATTAAAATAATTTACAAGTAACTACTAATTTAATTATAATTTATTTTTATGAAAATAAATTCCAAAATATTACATAGTTAAATTATTGTTTATGGTTTTGTAGACAAATTATATAATAAATTGAATAAATTAAATTTAAATATTCAGTAGTTAGAAATAATAACGAATAATAATATGTACTTACTCCTGGATTTGGATGATAAGGAGCTGACAACTTCTGAAATAGAAAATCATCATAGATTTATTTATTTGTAACAATGAATAAAAAATAATAATATTTTCTTTAATATTTAGATAGGTAATTGATAAATTTAATACTTGAGAATACTTACATTATGATTTTGATGGCCATGGCCGTTGCTAATAGGACTAATCGGAGCTTTCTTTAACACAATAGAAAAGTATTAATGATTGTTAAATATAAGAGATAATAGACTATATGAAATAGTCGGACTTACTTTTACTGTTCCTTGAACAGGCGTGAATACTTTTGGTTGCACTGGTTTTGATATCTCTTGAGCGTGGAAGTCTCCGTGTTCTGATTCTTGAATCGCCTTATACGTTTCAGATTTAGCTGGATCGTACTGCACTGTTTTCTTGTACCTATATGTTGTGGTCAGAAAATGGGGGAAAGTTTCGAGGGGGAAGGTGTTAGTAAAGAAATGTGTGAAGAAGAATAATATAGTTTAAGTCAAAAGAAAAAGAAAAACAGAAGAAATGTTAGAATATTTTTTTATTAAAATTGTGTTAGTCAGTATTCATATAGATAGGTATATGCAGGATTAATAGCGGAATTTACTAGGATGGATGGTTGTGTTTGAGTTTGGTTTTGGTTTCCAGGAAGGATAGGTCAATGAAAATACTGAGATTAGATATGCAGTACGAATTCTTTGGTCATAAAATAAGCAAAGTCATTAGTCCAACTACCATGTGCCGTGTTTAGAAAGAGACCACTAAGGCACTATATATAATTCATCCAAAAGCATTTTAAATTACTTCCTTTGGTTTTTATATTATTATAATACTATACTATAGAAATATGCAAGGACTAACGTTTCTACGAATCCATGTAATCCTAAGTTTAACTTAGTATTTAACTAAGTTACATGCCGCTAATAACATTCTCTTGCCAAAATGCGTTTTACCTCACACATGCTTCATGCATCTATTTACCTCAAACGACCGTACTTCTCTTCTTCCTCTTCCCTAAACATTAGTTTAAACAATTAAATGGTTGAACTTTGGTCGTTAACTTTAACTATATATAACTACTGACCAACTGAACGCTTTGGTTTCGAACAGTATATTATACTAGACCGCCGAAATGTTTGTTACGGCCAATTTAGGTCAGACGGAACAAAAATAGAGGCACCGGGCAGATAAAATTCACTAGGCCAGTTCTCTAGTGTAGTGTATAAATAGCCATAGACTATGCGTATAATGTGTAAACAAAACCCCTCGCGAATATATATTTTTTTTTTTTTGAAATTTATGATCGATTGCTATGGCAACGTGTTCAAGGTCAAAAATATTAATCGCTAATTCACTATCTAGTTTGTTGCCAACACGAGTAATTATGATATTATAGCGAAAATCTACTTAATACTACGCTTATCTCAAACCTAACAAAATAAGTAATTATTTTTAAAAAACTTACGGAGTATATCCTGTTTGCGATTTGATTGAATTAGCGATGTTTTCTTCAGAGTAAAGACCAATTGGCGAGTTGAACTGTTTGTGTACCACCTACAAAAAAATAAATAAATTAGACCTAAAATCAAAGTTGAGATTTTGTCAATAAAGCACAAAAGTCAATAAGCGAAATTCCCAAATTCCATGATTTATTAATTCCAAAAGCCCACCCGGTCGACAAAAAAAATTTATAATATTTAACCGTCACTGTTATAGTGATAAAACAACATACATAGACACATACATCACAACCTATAATAATATGACAAAACGAATATTTTTATAAATTTTGAACGGACACACCATCAAATATACACTTTAAGCAGGACGACACAGATAAGTAATTGCACATGATTTATAATATAAACATATTATATATGTATATTATATGTATAAATTGTATAGGATCCCTAACCTGTCTACCGGGTTTTGACTTGGCTTCTTCGCTGCTTATCCGTTGCAACACCGTGTCCGTGACCTATCAATTATATACATATATAGGACCATAACCAACCCGTGACTGTATATCATATAAGCTCGACAGTAGATAGTGCTTACCTTTTGTTTCATCAGCGTGTCCATGGGTTGATCGTGGTGTGACGGATGCGCTCTCATCATCGGGTTGGGATGGTGGCGTAAGTACGATTCGGTCTTGGGTGGATCCCTCTTGACCTTAGCTCCGGGCAAAACTAACGGGTTCGTTCTGTACGGCTGAAAATGCAATCAAACAAAATATTATTATTAGTATCAAAAAGACGTCCGACTGGAGGGATTGGAAAACGTTTCGGACGATATAACGATCTATTGGCCGTATATTTCCTTGCAAATTTATTCATAAATACGCGTCGTGACATAATATTACACAAGCCCCGCGATCGTAGCCGGTCAATTGTGAAATGGACGATATATTATCGATGCCGATGCCATGTAAAATAAACAATATCCGACACTTACCCACAGCAAAGCGTTTTCGGGCTCGTAATCGTTTTGTTCCTGATCAATGTGAGACATCATCATTTTGACAGTTTTTTTATTTAATTATTTATTTAAAGTAGAAATTAATTTTATAATATTATGTGGTTATTGGTATATTCACAGTAACGTTTGGGTAAAAACTTGAGCTGTATTATGATATTGTTGTTTGCTTTCGGTTTCAACGGTTTCCCTTCGACTGCGAGTTTCGTCTTGGTCGGTGTGTACCAGTTAACATATAGTGTGGGAATCGCCCACGCGGCTTGGCAGACTCCGCGGGGAACTTACGAGGGTTTTCTAAAATTAACAACCGGACGTTTTTCCATAGGCTAAGAGGAGACTGTATTATTATTATGTACAAGCAATTTTAATTTGATACATACAAATTTTCGCGACATTCCTTGAAATTTTTATTTATTATCAATTTCGAGGACAGGCGTTGATATAATTATTCTCATGTCGAGCGGCAATAATAATATGCAGTTATTTTTAACGGGATTACTATTTATTATTTGATCTACAGACCCTGACACGTATTTAATAATATTTTTAATAAACAATAATTATATCATTAAATATTAATGATGAATAACGGTTGGTAATTTTATCTTATTCCAATAGCTATTTTTGGTAAGAATGTGAGTGATGTGACTTTTACAAAAGAAATATATTTTGTATTATTCAAAATATATGGGTAATATTTTGAACAAGCATGGTATATAAAATAATAATGATTAGTTTTATGAATCAATTAAATTGATCTAGATTTTATCATTTTTTATATGCTTATCTATAACGCGTTATTTAAAAATATGAAATAAGTTAGTAAATCTTAAATTTATTGATTTCTGTGTTAATGATTTTACAAATTTGAATAGGTAGGTATCACTTGTAAAACTTAAATATGGTTTCTCGCTAGATTAACGGATGTAAAAGGCACCATGAAAAATTGCACTTAATTTTAATAAATCATTCAAATGATTTTAATAGTTTAAAGTAAATAAGTAACCACGTAAAAACAATATTTTGCATTTGTAGATATAATTTTATAAATAATTATCATAATTTATTATCATTTCCTTGATTTAGTATAAACATGCCATACATTAATTATTTTGCCAATTTTATTTGAATAATTTAAGTATTAAATACAATGATTGCATTAATAATAATATTATAATATCAAATATACATAAAATGTTACGTGTTTAAGGTTTTCTAATTAACTAAATTTTTTATTACATAAAATTTTCATTTTTTTTTTCTATATATACATAAAAAGTATACTAGTCAAGGTACTTAAACATTTTAAATTAGTCAGAGGCCTTACCACGGAAAGGGGTTTAAAAATAACCCTGTGTTTTTTTGGTTCATATCCAAAATAATTCAACAAAATAAATTTCATCATAATTATTCGTGTTATATTTTGTTTTGCGACACAAAACATGTTTTTCCATTGGACTATTTAGTCCAAGGCTCGCAAGAGCATATTATAATACGTTTGTATGTAACTCATCACATCCCTTCCAAATTTAAAAATATTGGTCTTACAAAGTTAAACTATATTATTACTGTCATCCCGCATTATTGCCGGACAACCGGCACGTGGAGTCACGATTAGATACTCGTTGCACAATACGTTCAAATCACAATTGCTATTTCCGTTTATTTTTTATAACAACTAGAAATCGTGTTATTCGATCTCGAAGAAACGTCAAAATAAACATTCAAAAGTCATAGAAATTACTGTTTTCGACGATAGTCTACATAATATAATACGCATTTTTGGGGAATTTCAATAATCAATCGTATACCTACAACCAATATGCAGGTATTATAAAATATTATTATTAATTCGAATTTAAAACACTATTCGCCAATAAAACCGTTGATATTAAATTAGAATACAGTCGTAATACCTTTTTTTTTAACCAATAAGCACTTTATTATGTTTTAAAATATCAAATGTTACGATTTTAGTCATTTTTGTTTAAGCATAGACACCCCGACATTGATCCATCACAAATACCGTGCCGCAGGCCTGGACTGAGAGGATACTAGCCAATTGATCTCAGTAAGCAGGCGATCTATAGGCCCATAAATATAATTAAAAAAATCTTTTTTTTTTTTTGCTCATTAATTGTTTAAAAAAACTCAAGTATTTTATTACAAAATTGAGGCATGACGCCCAATGTTCTACAGAACAGTAGCATAGTGGCCCAGACGGGGCCTGACCGTGCGTTTATTCCGAGATTAATCCTAAGATAATTTTATTGAATGATGACAAATGACTAGACTGAATAATTGATGACGTAACGTATCACAGGATTTTTGTTCGTTGCCAATTATTTCAATTGGTTCTACAACTCGCCAATAATTGCCAGTAGGTCACATTATATTATATGTTGTCAATAATAGTTCCATATCAAAATTCTGCTAAATTACGATAGTAAGATCAGTTATTTGGTAAGTAATAAAAAAAATTTCAATGTAAATAATTCAAATTGTATATAAAAAGTAAGTACTAATGGGTTTTAGTTAAAATGTCATGCCAATTAAATAAACAAATGGTTTATTATTAAGTTCATAAAAAATAAAACTAAAAGGATATTTTTAGATATGTGCTAACTGCTTAAACGACCTTTAACTCTGTACGTGCCAAAATAAAATTACAAATTCTAATATGATGTATATTTTTTTAGCTCCACTATAGCTTATTTATATTTTGTTTAACGACAAAAATATATTTATCACCATTGTTATTTCAAAATATCATCAATATTGAATACCAATTATGAAGTAAAGTGATTATAAAATATTTAAAACAGAAGACTAGTTGTATCAATATCAATTATTTTATTTTCTACTGACATAATTCATATAGACTTGTAAAATCTCAGCCATTTTTTCGTAAAATTGAATAAATATGAGGTGAATTTAATTTGATGTTTGTATTTAGGTATTTTGACCATCCAGACAATTGTATCTGGTATATAGTTTAAGAACATATCATGAAAAGAAAAAATATGTCCTAAATTATTTTTAAGTTTAAATAGTAAGTTTCTTGTGAATACAAAAGTATGTTTCTAATAATAATGATCTTTATTAATATTTGGCTATGATTTTTTTAAATTTTTTTATGATGTTTGAAACAATAAATTTCTTTCGTGAAAAATACCTACTCATAAATTGTAATAATTATTCAATATTAAAAAAAAAATCAAATATTATAACGAACATATACAGTAGGTAAAATAGTAAATGGCTGTTTTTCAGATACAATTTTTACCATCACAAAATGGTTTAAATCAATATCAGAATACATAATAAATTAGAAAATAATTTTAATGTTTACCTCTACTTACACACTGATAGGTACGTGTTTAACATTATGTTTATTTTACAGGGTAATTGAACTCCAAAACAATTGTCTAACTTGTAATAATTATTCGTCGATAAAAGTGGTTAACTAAAAATTAAAAGAAAAATACCTATTATTTTTTGGGATGACATCGTGTTATCGTTTGTATGAGATCAAAACGACTTTTATCTGATAGTGCAGTACTAATGGTATACGCCAGAGTAAGTCACTAAAAATCAATTATTATTCATGAGAATTGCAACGGAAAATTTTTACAACGATGGAAGCGTGAGTATGTTTTATGTATACAGCGTGAACACATGATTACTCATTACATCGAAAAATATGTAAACGTTTTTGGAAATATTTTTTTTACGCTAACTTAATTTGTTATGAACAAAGTTTTTAAGATATTATTTTATTTTTATATTTTTTAAGTTTTTTTTTACTTTTTTGAATAAATGTCTATAACAAACTAGTAACTACTCATTTAAAATTTGATTTTAAATAAAAAAAAAAAAATTATAAAAAATAGTTTGCTTATAAAATTATAAATAAATAATATATTAATAACAAATTAAAAACGAATTTCAACACGAATTATTAAATTTTATATCAATAAAAAATATTGAAAATTGTATTGAATGTTTTCTCAAAAAAAAAAATTGTTTTATAACAATCACAGATTATTTAAAAAAGTTTCCAAAAACGTTAGTTATCAATATATTACGAGAGAAAATGAATGTTCACCTTTATAAAATTACCTTGAATATATAATATATACTATATGTATATAGGTACATCATAAAATGTTATGATGATGAGGAACATATAATTATATGGAACGTGAAATTATCCCAGATTAAAAGCCAAGCTATTTCTGTACTGTACCCTTCCCCCGAATACTCGCAGCCACACCCGGAACGTATATTATATTATTAAATGGTTTTCGTGAATTTAATTTTTACAATTTTTAATTTTTTACCTTGAAACATGTTTTTATCATTCAAAAATAACTTTAGTCATTTGTGGTACGTCAAAGTCAAATGCGTGTTTTTCGGCAGTGTTTACACAGTCTCAATGCTGTTCCTCTTTCTCTCATACTCCATCTATCTGTCTCTCTTTCACTCTTTCGCAATAATTTAAAGTTTTAAATTTATTTTTGAGCTGAACTACTCTAGTACGTAGGTTATGCATTATAGCATTATATTATTACAGTTGCAGGTATATACCTTTAGGTTATAAAAATAATAGCATTGTTATAAGCTTGCAAAGAGTCAGGCGTGCTTGAGCACCTCTCGTCTGTCTCTTATATTAATCGAGTCTCTAAAAGTTATAGACTGAGGCTAGGTCTATATTCTATACAACGTTATCAAATAAAATTTAAATTCATCAAATATATGTGTTTTAAAACAAATAATAATAAAACTAAGACAATTATTCTACTTGGGGAGATCTTCGAAGGGCTAATAATAGGTACGGGAAAGTTTGGATTAGTGATAAATGCTTCCGCACAGGGAGGATTTTTAAACATCTTAAAATATCATCAGGGTAAATATATGCAATAAAAATGATTGATTAACTTAAACGCCGGTAAGGTTACCCGTTGTCTATCCTTTTCATATAGGTAGGACAACACATATTCATGTAAAGGAAAACTATGAAATTAAATGGGTATAGATTTTTCTTAAGACAATCAATTTTCTCAAGCGCACTTCCTAATCCTGCAGAACGATTCTACTACCCACCATTCCACCACTTAAACCTTGGAAATTTTCATTCTGTGAATTGTATACACATCATTCGAGATGGTAGCACCGGCTCAGATTATTAATAAAATAATAACAACGTTTATTCTACTCTACAGTGCGCTGAGAATACCGCCCTTACCTGTTGGTCGAGCGCCACGGAGTCGTGCGACTCGTCCCAGTCGTACGGAGACGCGCTGTCGACCAGCGACGGCGGAAAGCGACAGAAATTGTTGACAGGTGACTGGGTGGACCGCTCGTAACCGTACAAGCCGTTACCGATTGGTCGCGCAGTGACGTGCTGCTGCTGGTTGAGTTGATGATTATTGGTCACCGGAATTGGGCTGCTGTTTCTGCTGCTGCCGTTGAACTGAGGAGCATCCCTGCGATATGATATTGCAATGTAATTACGTTACGCATTAAACGTGCGTATAAAAGATATATAGTAAAGGTATATATATATATAACGGGTCGGGAAGACACGGTGGTCGTGACAAAATAAATATCATCTTATTTATAGCATTATAGTGTTAGTACATGAACTATATGCAGGTATAAACACGACGATAACTGATAACAGGTGAAGACGATATCTACCAATTTTGTGGTAAAATTGTAAACTTTATATCACAGAACATTCTGACCAATCTGCACAATTGCCTATCACCAACAACAAATATTTAGATATATGATTTATATACTATATAATACAAGATAAATATGAGTAATCAAACTGTGGTCTGTGGTGGATTAAATAATATATCAATTGATGAATTTTTAATGTGCTGAAAATTACTCTATACACTTTCCTGATATTTCTTATCTTTGAAAGTTTTTTAATATTCTAAAAATTGGCCCTCTAGTAATTTTAAGTTGTCCATCCCTGGTTTATATTCAATATTGTAATAAATTTATAATCTAGTACCTTTGTATAACTAGTGTTATCGACTGGTCGGCGTTGCCGAACAAATTTTGTGCGTCCAAATGTCTCAAGTCTCGAGCGTCGTATACTTCAATCTTCCGTATGATGTCGCCGACTCTCAAGCTACCTTCACTGGGTGATCTGGCGTACACCTAAATATAAATTAGACGCACGAAAATAAAATATGAACATTTTCAAAAAAATTTGTCTCTTAACACCGTTATCGTATAATAATAACAATTTTTAATAATTTTATATCGTATACATAGTCACAGCAATAAATACGCCATAGCCAAAAGACACGACCAAAAAATGTGTTTGCTCTTTCATAAACTGATTACCTATGTGACTAATGTTCGACACGTGCGGCCATATATACAGTATACAGTATACATTGTATATGCCAGAATTGTATGTGTGTGTATATAAAAAGTAAACTAAAGTTCAACGTTTCATTGGTATATATGTAATATGACCAAATATGTTGAAATGTTGTAACTATATATATACTAAAATTGTATTGCAACCCATATGTTCGTATGCCTTTGTGCTGACTGCTCCCTGAAGTTGCTGTCGTTCAACAAACACGCAAACATAATACTTGCCGAGACATTTACTTAGCCTATTATATATATGTGTACCCACGTGGCCACATGTATTTAGAACGAAGTAGGTATAGTATACACACCGATCTAGGACAAATGGACGCGACCGTTTAAACGCGGCCGTTTGAACGCGAAGTCATTTGGACGCAGCCGTTTAAGCGCCAGTACACTTGGACGTGAGGACAAAATTAATAATTATAATTAATATTATAGTTTTATTACGATATTAGGATTTATCCTACGTTATCGAAATCGACGTTATCGTTTAGGTACGAAGTCGTTTAGACCAGTATTGATTAATTTGTTTTATTATTATAAATATTTAAATAAAATTTATGCTTATAAACTATGTTTTATGATAATTCTACTAAAATATATACCTATATGTTTATTTATTTTTAACTTTTATATTTTTTTAGCAATTTTTTTTTTTATTATTATAAATATTTGAATAAAATGTATACTTATAAACTATTTTTTATAATAATTCTATTACAATATACGTATATTTATATTTTATTGTCATTGGTATAAGTAAAAATAAAGAATTGAATAACTATAATTTTGTCCTCGCGTCCAAATAGCCGCGTCCATTTGTCCCTGTTCGAATACACATATAGTAATTAACGCGAAGCGAGGTAAACTAGACGCGTTGTCGAATCTACACATACATATAGCAAGTATAATAAAGTTCAATATTTGTATACATCTACTTAAAATCTACATTATATTGTACATATTTTTACTAAATTATTATAGATGTATGGTTTACGGAAGTAACATAATACAGTATTTACTATATTATTCATATGACCTATAATATATTGTATGTATATAGACTTGTTTTTAACCAACGTTTGCCCCATTGTTAAAATAAGACTATAAATAATTGTCTATTTTTATTCCAAAAATATTATGATTCAATTGATGATAGATCAACAGGTAAAAATGTTTAATAAATTATGTTTTCAACAGTTATTTATCACATCGCTATATGATGTTGCCTACAATAGCAGATGAAATCCAAAGATTTGCTCGAAAACACAAAACTAGGCTAGATCACCATGACGTCAATGCATTGGCCATCTAATTATTAGACGCTCCAAGGACATCAGACGTTTCAAGTGTCTAAGGACTGAGACTATATGACTTAGTTTAAGATTTTAGATTAAGGCAGGAGACACTTCATTGGAAGTGACTCCATCAACGTTTAGTATATTATATAATTTATACCTAGTATGTAAAACATATACAATAATTGTTAAACATATTTATAAAGACCGTTGGGTCGTTTAAATAATAAAGCCCCAGGGCATTAAAAAAAAAAACAAAAAAAAAAAACAGTTATTTGTAACTTTATATAACACTAAACAAGACAAATTACAAAGACATTATTAAGCCATAGCAAAAATTTCTACTGCGTCTGCAAATTTAAACAAATAAATTCAATTAAATAGTACTTGCGTTAAAATAGTTTATTAAAAAAATAAAAACACATCACTAATATAAACCCTTCTTACACACAGCATATGTTAATGATCTACGAGTTATTATTAAACTTAATTGCACACAATCGAAATAAGAGCTTTATTTTTCTTTTTTTTCTTTTTGTATGAAACTTTTAAGTACAAATTTTAAATAATATTATACGTATCAAAAATTAATTTTGTACCATATAAAAATACCATTGATAACATCATAAAAATCACATTTTAGTACAAGTTTCCATCTCAAAGATTAAATTAATGACTTGAGCCTAAAATCATTAAAACTCACATATGTATTTTTAAATGGTTAAATTTTGGCAAGTATAGACATCTTCTGTTACGGAATATTAAAAATAAGACGACTGAAAATTCTGAAGTTATAAATTTTGGCTCAAATACATTAAACAATTTAATTTGTTTTTTCCCTACAGCTTTGAGTGTCTGGATTTAAAAATGCATAGTGAATAATGATAACAAAATATATTAATATACTTATTATATATATATATATATATATATTACTATACATCTTATAATAGGTTTATACAATTATATCCATATATGTACAAGTACATAATATAAAAAAAGTAAATGTAAACATGCAGCTATTGTAGCTATGATTATTTAGCGTTTAACATAATACAATATACAAAATAATTCTTTTAAAGATATACGTATACTAATTTTTTTCTAAAAGATTTAATGTTTTTGAAATATTTGTTTTAGATAATTTGAAGTCATAACAAAATAAAAATGTATGTACATTTTTTTATCCTTATCGTTTTTAAATTTTTTACTGTTTTTAATAACATCATGCATACATTTTTAATTTTATATTCTGTTTCAGAATATTTTTCTTATAATTTCAACATACAAAAATCGAATTTTTAATTCATAGGTATTTAGTTAATTATAACTTGAGACATATATTTTGAATATTTGGATCAACGAAATGTTGAGCCAATATTTTAATTTTCCGTGTGAGGCTTAATGGTTGTGCTTCTGTGTTAATCTACTCCGCTTCTAAAACTTTTAACACTTATGAATAATACAATAACTATTTCAAAAAACGATAATGACTTCATACTACGTGTAAAATAATATTAACAAAAATGTTAATAGTTTTCTAGAAAATGAATCTTTAAAAAAATCACCATGTACCTATTATATATACGTAAATATATAGTAAAATTCATGCAATTAAAATGTTTTGAGCTGTAATTAACACTCGTCATTCAAAAAATAATTTAAAATTCATGATCTAATAAAGGTAACTAGTAAACTTTAATCGAACTTTAGAAAATCAAAATACCTAAATCCAACGATTAAGGGTATTAATAATTTCATTAAATACTGACATGGCTAAATTGTATACCTACTAAATGCTGATTAAATACAAATATAAACCGATTTACCGAAAACTGACCTCGGGAATAGCCCCTAGGCCCAAACCTAAATCAGCCTATATGGCTATATGTATAAAACAACACTAATCATCTATGATATGATAACTATTTCAATAATAATACCTAAAACCTATGAGGATACGATACTAAGAAAATAAGTATTGCCCATGATTAAAATATGATAACGACGATTATAACAATCGAAGGATTCGGTGCGCGTGTTATTTGTGTGAGTTGTATTTTTATGGCCTTATATTTTGTCATGAAAATATTAGTGGAATACAATCATACACGTTGATATAACTTAAAGTATTTTTTTTTAATTGGAGAGTGGCAAAATATATAATAAATATTTATTAGCTATTGTGTCTAAAAACATAGTGAAAAGATAGAGATGATACCTTTCTAACCTTAAAAAATTAACTAATGATTATTCTATACTTGTAAATAATATAATATATTAGTCCTAAGTTTTGTAGAATTATTAAATTATTAGAAATACGAATTCAATCACTGCCCGGCCATAAGGACTCAGATGACTCAGCCTTATTCTGACGAGCAGTAGAATCTAAATTAAACAGTAGGTATAGAAAATAATTAACTAGACAAATACGGGCAATTAAGATAAAATAATAAATTAATCTTAGATACTCAAAACTACGGTATTAATAAATATTTTTGATTTTAAAAATTACACCATCACCCTAGCCCGTCAGAATATCAGGCATCAATATCATTCAACGTTTGATAGATATATATCCGATCGCTATGGTTTATAAGTACTCTTAAGTTAAGAGTTTTAATCCGGAAATAATGCCATACTATAGGTGTGTATATAATGATTTATATTTAATGACTTACCTTTGTTATGATTAGTGGCGTGTTGAGATCTGCTCCACCAGCCAGCCGAATGCCCCACGGTTGAGACTTGCCGTCTCTCTTGAGCGTTACGGACCACGTGCTTGGCTTTTTTGAACCCATGACGATTGCACCGGTCACCGCGTCCTGTGGCTAGTCGTAGCTAATCGCTAATGCAACTGCTGTAGGTACAACATAAATATAAACGTAAATCAAACGTTATTATATCATAAACGATTTATAGAATACGCGTGATATTTATATGATGTATTATATAAATACTAGGCACAAATATATGCGTTGTATAGATTCAATATAATAATAATTTATATTAATGAAATAATAATATATTGAAGAGTGCTGCTACGGGAAGTATAGAGTATATTATGGTGACGTTTAATGAATATATACAGCACACACGTGTGTGTTTGTTGTGTATGCCTGTTTGCTGGCAGCTGTGCAGTGTGCACACCTCCGCCGAGTCCAAAACTTATAACAACATAACATATTTGACGTGTAGGTACATTAGGTATAGGTACGCTACAGGTACGACCGACGAACATGTTAGGTATAATACAATATGATATATACGTCATTGTTTTGCGAGCCGCGAAAATCGCAATGTTTATTATGGTGATGGTGATAATATTATATTTATATTATATTATGGACGCCAAAAAATATCAAACGTGAAACGCTAACATGTAAAATATACACACGGTAAATATTGTTAAGTAGGTACATATATAATGCTATTGCGTAGGCGTATATACAGAGTGATTCTATAATACTTAAGGCAATGCCGAAAAGATTCAACTTTTTAATTGATGGATTTTGAAAATTAGATACGCTCGCAATTCCAAAATCATACTATGTCAATGCATATGATGAAAACGTTATTTTTTATATACGTCCTTGCAAGTGATATGGCGATTTCCGTTCCAATTCTACGACAGTCTACATTTTCTAAAGTGCAATACAGACTACCTAATATGTTAATGTAAAAAGTAGATTAACGATTTTATTTTAAATGTGTGTAAACATTCACAATTTCTGCGCCGTTATGATAATAAGTGACAATCGATGTACTGCGTAATTCAAATTCAAAAACAGTTGTTCCGACATCGTAAGTATATGTGATAGGTATGTTCGACTGAAACGCGGGCGCAACGTTTTCAAAATATTACGTCCGAATAGCGATTCAAACTTAATCACATCATCGTCCAAAACACGACGTAATGGCACGGTGTCACGAATACTTCCATATAATAAAATCATCGTAAAAGTGTATACCTAAAGGCACGTACGATCATCGGTTAACTTTCAATAGATGTCATGGTCAGAGATTAAAATATTTCACACTTCGTACCTACATCATCGTTTACAGAAACGTAGAAATTGATGACAAAAAATGTCTTAAAAGTTTGTACTCGTCAATCTTTTTGTCATAAACAAAATAAATTACAAATGATAAAAAAAAAATGAGTAAAATATGTTTCGTATGGCATTTTGAGGTTGGTTAGTTGGTACACCCTCGAATCCATCTCCCTGAACACGCAACCGTTACGATGTTATTTAAATGAGCATTGTCTGTATTGTGAAAATTCTTCAACGTTCATTTTTTAAACTGCGTATAATAAATCTCACATTTTGATTCATTGATCATTAAAAAAAAAAAAAATCATAACAACAATAAAACTATCTGTGTTTATTGAAATATTTACAACTAGAAATTAAATAAATTATATAGAAATATTTTGAATCATAAATCGTTAATCATAATTAGTACATCAACATAAATATGACGAATAAACAATATAAATCTATTGATATAGGACGAATATATGTATTTGGAACAGATAGACTGATATGTTATATAATACCAATCGTAAATAACATGAACTAAGGGTGATGTAGTGGTATCTCGGATATGGAAAGGTTTCCTAAAGATTAATATTAAATATACGTTACTAAAGTGTATATAATTCTGAAACTCTTATAGCAGCAAGACAATTTATTGAAAGTAATACTTAAAGACCAGATTTATTTAATATTGTATTTTATTTTTTCATCTATTAACTCGATTCTGATCAAATATGGATGTATACGAATCGAACTAAATATAGTAGTTTTTCTATTTCATTTTTTACGGTTTTGGAATTTTTTATGATTTTACGCGATTTTAAATGGTTAAGTGTATACAATTTTATGATAAAGTACTTCCATTGGGAGGGCTTGCTCTTCGTTCTGTTATTTTCATGTTATTATTTGTTATTATATTATTAACTAAGCTTAAAAATTGTTCAGCTTTGTAACAGATGGTCCAATAAATAATTACGTTTAAAAATAAAATTATAAATGAATATATTATTTTTAATATTACAATCTAAATTTAACTAAATATATGATTATATTGTGAGCTTTTGCGCATTGTACCTATTTAATAAAAGGAAAATCAAACAACCAATTACTACTTAATAGCCTATGTCGAGTTATATAAAAAAAAGTATTTACCTAATGAGTAATGGTTCACTAAAATTGGATAGACTTTGATTAAAATTTAGTTAGGCAACTAAATCATGTTTAAGAGAATAAGAGATCATTATAGCTTACTTTATTGATTCATTAAATGTTATTAATGACTGTGTATGCAGTCCAACATAAATATAATCAGTGAAATTTAGAATATTTTATTGAATATTTCAAGTCCTTGTGAAAAAAGCACAATTATTTATTAATGTACATTTTAGAAAAAAAAATTATGTAAGGTTATTAAATCTTATTGTAAAGTGTTATAGCTAAATATTAATTTAAATAGAAACAAATTTCGAATTAGTACAAATTATAAGCGTAAAAATTAAACGCACTTTTTCTTTATATTCCTACACATATTTTAAATAATCGACGATACAATTTTAAAGGTAAACATTGAAAAATTTATATGATTAATTTTATCATTAAAATATAAGCTTTTATTCAGCAATTTGTCGTTGTCTTTTTAATGCAATTATTATTAGGTATTTTATGATTTTATCAAACGACTTTTATATTTAGAGTAATAAAATTCGGTCTTTGTGAACATTATACACAGTGATTTACTACAAACATGCTCGCCTCAATTTTAATTTTAACAATGAATTTATTCAATTGTTTTTTTAAAATTTTTAAATATTGCCAAAAATTTTATTTTCGAATTCTTGGTATTTTTTCTGCTACTTAAGGAACATCTTATAAGATTATAAACTTTTGTTTTTCAAAAAACAACCCTCCTTTTTACTGTAAATAATTTAATAAATCGTTTTTTTTTTTTTTTTATGTTGATGTGCCTAATTTAAAATTCAAACAAGTAGTTTATCAACTATTAAAATGTTTATACTAAGGATAATAGTCATCATTAATAATTTTATAAAAATATAAAATAAACATGATATTGGATCTAGCATTTTTTTATACTATTGTATCATTTTACAAGTATTCTGATAGATTAATATAAATTAATTAAATTTCTAAACCCCTATTATACTATGAACCTATTGTCCTTAGTACTTACGCAAAGTTTAATAACTCAAAAACTACTCATTTGAATTTTGATTCTGATAAGAAAATATTTTCAGAAAAAATATTCACAAAATAATTTACAGCAAAAACCGGAGTTCTCGACAGGTTGCGTTCTGTAAAACAGAAGTCCATATCTGCACATGACACTCCTTTAATAACACGTAAATTTCAAAATTGTTAAGACATGTTCTCTAAGTACGCTTAATTATTCCAAAAAATCATATTTCGAATAAAATTGGAGAAAAAAGAAATGAGCATGCCTGGTGAATCGCCCCGTACACAACGCATTTATATTGCATTTTCCGAGGTTTCCGTTAAATATATTTCGTGTTTTTTAAACACATAATAATAAAATTGATCATTATGTACAACGCGCACGCGTATTCGGCCAACTTTCAGAGCGAGGACTCGCGTGCCACCGCGATGAGTCAATATAATAACAAATAATAATATGTCATAACGCGCGGCGCCGATCGTATACCTAAATATCCCTGTCGCGCGTGCGTATAATATATTTATATATATATATATATATACAGCGTACACGGCTGTATGGCACGCGTGGGCAGTCGTTCTGCAACTTGCAGCGGCAGCCGTGAGGAAGCTGCGATGGTCCGGATGTGGAGGGCGTGAAACCGGAAATAACGACTGCGGTCGATCACGAACACGATTGAACCGTTGTAGGAACGACGTGCACAATTCGCGATTACGATTTATGTGTCAGCCGACGATTACAGTACATAATATACTGTTCACAGCCGCCGCGTCACCTCCGTCGTCGTACAATGGTCGGGCACAATTCACTGCGCGAATGATGGACGGGCTCGCGAACTACGCGGCTATCGCGGGTCGCGAGCAAATTACGGGTCGGGCTCGGGACACGTGCCAAAATACATAATATTATAATATATGCGAGAGTCGCGCGCGGAGAAAATAACAAACCAAACGTTATAAGAGATATTTAAAATGCGTGCGCTTGCAGTATACGCAATACCGTCGATTTATTATTACGAACGATTTTCATTATTATTTTAGCAGTTGCGTCCGGGTCTGCGTTTCGTAACCGATTTTATGACTATTACAATTCTTTCTTATTTTTTCCATCCTCGTTCGATATCCCACTCGGAAGACGAGAATAGCTGGAAATGGCGTGTAACATATAAATAATATTAATAATTATATTATGCTGAACGTTCAGCCGCTTATAAAATGTGCAATAGCCAATCACACTAATAATATTTACCTAGTAAAATTTTGTATTCACTTTGACGTTACATTATATTTTATACATACTAAACACGGTTTAAACATAAAAAAACTAAAGTCACACATACGCGATTCGAAAAAAATTTGGTGACCTAGTATCTATGTATATTTGCTTATGTGTGTAAAAAACGAAATAAATTCACGAAATCTCAATTAGTAAATAAATGACAAGACATTTTTACAGTTCTTTAAGTATGTAGGTATACTATTATATCTTGGTATCTATATTTAATTAGTATGAATTAAACACTTATCATATTTCGATATTTTTTAATACTGGACCTTAAAGTACCGGGCAGGGACTACAGAGATCAGATATTGTCACTCACCTCACTTGGCTTAAAATAAGTACCATTGTAAAACTAGACTATTATATTATATATTATATCAATAATAATAATTATATTACGAATAGTATCATCTCCTTATTACCTTATTGCTAACTAGATCAATAACCGTAAATATATGTACCAAAATCATGTGGACGGACAGATAAAGTAATAATAATAATAATTATAAGGTATTTAAACTCATGTTTAGAAACCTTAAATCAAGGTTTTTATAATTTTTAAGTATTGTGTCAAGTAATAGGTACATTTCGTAAAATATTTAATCTACTCATGTCTCATACTCCACTCATCACTTTAAAATTTAAATACTAAAATAATTTACCCATTATCCGGTACATTTAATATATTTTTTATAAATATGCAATACTTATTTTTAGAAAAGCTTACTGCTACATATTATAAAATTTAAAAAAATATACTCGACGAGTAATCGTACCTCGAAATATTAATTTATATATTTTTCAACATAATTCTTTACTGAGCTGTTTATTTTAGAGTTAAATAATAAAAGTTCAGTTAATAAAATAATATTAAATAATAACATGAAAACAATATAGACATATAGTGACGAAATCTCTATATGGAGATACTTTGTCATGAAATTATATATATACTTAATCACGCGCAAGTGAATACAATCACAAACACGTTGAAAATTAAATAGGTAGATTATGATAAGTCAGATTTGTGTGCATACAAACATATTATTAAATTTGAATTAATAAATAACAAAAAAAAAAAAAAAAATACAATATCAAATAAATCCGATTTTTAAATATCACGTACCTATTCAAGCATTGCCACTGTAGAATGCAAAGACAAAATATAATTATTTTATATCTAATTACCTGCCTACTTAATACGTTTTTGAGTATTATGTAGCTAATCAGTGTTTGAATTGGAAAAAAATAAAAGAGCATGCAAAGGTGTGAAAATAAAAAGTTCATACCTGAATATTTAAAGATAAGACTATAGTGTAACTATAATAAAAACACCTAGATATTGTTTTTTTTTTTTTTTTAAGAAACTTCGTCCTCCTATAACCCCCCTCAATTAAAGCACTGTACCTAATAAAACTTTATAACACCTATTCTCCCGGAGACAACAACAAATTGATCAAATTTAAAATTCATACAATATTATTCACTTCGTTATAAATACAAATACCTACACCTATATTCACCTGCTTCACATCTTTATACATTACTATTTTCATTTCTCACTACTTACTATGTATAGATACCTCCTATATTTTCTATTCACGAACTAAAATCCTTTTAAGAGTTATAGGTTCTCTTATTATATAAAAGACTGTCCTAACCTAAATTCTAGTTCTTAATAGATACAATGCTATCCGAATTCGTACTTGTATTTTGTTTACATACGTCTGCCACCTTAACATCCATCCAAAACTTTGCCGAATAATTATTATAATATTTAAATAGTTAATTATTAGATATCCCTATTATAACAAACCTAATATTAAGTATACCTACCGGCTACCTATACAGTATGTAATGTTGATAGGCAACTGAATAGTGAATAGGATAGAACATTAGAATATTAAGAAAACGTTATTATGATTTCCAATTTTTACAATTAATTTGTATCAAGGTGCCTACCCTTCTAAAATATACCACGTTTGTTCAATATATAACTTACATGCCTTTTCTCTCCGTCCAACGATAGGTAGGTACCTGCCTAGTTCTAAACCATAATATAATGTTTTTAGTTTTTACCAATCGTACTTAAGAGAATCCCAGCATCTATTTGTTTTCTCTTGCCGACCTACGCACAGTGAGTACCTACAGCAAATTTGCGTTCAACAAAACAGCCTTGTATTATTAGCTTTATTATTAAAGTGAATTGATCTATTATTAAACTTAACGCCAGAAATATTATTTATGTTCTTACGTTAGCTTTTTTACAATATTTTAATATGAGTTACGAAAACTTAGTACCATACAAAAGTAAATTTGCTGAATATAAATTTTCTATGTCGTACGTGAGTCAAGAAGAATAAACAAATAAGTAATACGCTAATTGATATTATTCTCTTAGTAATAAATTGAAAATTTATATTTATTACTGGATATCTATTATTAATTGGTAGATACTAAACAAAAGATTAGTTCTAACTAGTATAATAACCACCTACAAATTATAATAGGTACTAATATAAGATAAATACATATTTCCTAATTCCTAGTAAGTAGCCTAAAATTATCAAATACCAATATGGACCTATAATGAACAGTATGGACCAATCACCAGTCACTATAACATTAAATTCAGTAGAATAATATACCTATATATACATATTTTTTAAATACCTAAATAATCTTATCGTAATCGCATGTCATTGAAACAAAGTGCATAATTTAGTATTACCCTCTGGTCAAATGCCAATATTTTACAGATAAACTCGTGTTTTTGGCACAGTCATCCCATTTTTATGAACATCTGTTATATTCATGAAAGTTTGGGTTTTAGTGCAATTCTTATTAAAAAAAAATAATATCAAAACTTAATTTTTTATATATTTTTGGCAAAAAACCCAAATACTTTAACTAGTAACTCCTCAAGCCAAAGATTGATCATCCCTTGATCACATAATAAATTCATTAACTTTAATCTAATACACTTTGTTCTTTAAAATATATTTTCTTGGGTATTATGCCAAAATATGTTATTTCAGTTATTCTATTAATACTAAACAAATATTTTCAAAACACAATTCATTTTATTATTTATTATTTAACTGTTAACTGTATATATTAATCAAAAATACAAAATTACTATCTAATTGATACAGATATTTTCATTTATCAGACTAAATAGTTATTAAGTCATCTCAGCTTTAATTTTTGAAAATTACTTAATTGTAATATTCTAAGGGTTAAACAATTTTCTTTGATAGAAAGCATATTTATGTGTCAAAAATATTTTATATTAATTTTTGAACCTTCAAACAATTATGAAAAATAATAATAATAATAACAAACATTAGGTACTTGTAAGCAGAATTGGACAAAAAAAAAATAAATTTTACATTTTAAATAATGTATAAGTATATTTTAAAATTGTATTTTGTATCTTTTATTTTAAATAGGTACATTTTTATTAATTTATTTTTTTTGAGCAATATGAGTGCATATATTTTAATTTTTACCAACTTAGATAGTTTTATAACATATATTACTTTCTATATAGAAAACAGTTTTCATACAATAGTAATTTGTATAAGTTCTTCCTAAATCCAAGAAGCATATAATGAATCATAATAAATAATTTATTATAACAATTAATAATAATGAATACCTAGTGGTTCACTTATATGGTGTACTGATTTTAGTTACCACTTGTCAACTAGAATTTTGTTTACTATTTTAATATACATATAATAAATTTTATGTTACCTAATAATTTATTTACTATTTATACGCCAATTTAATACAGACTATAATATATTGATAATAGTTACCCTTGCACTTTAAAAACTTAATAACAAAACTTTTGCATTTTATATTGTATAGAATATTTTTTAACGCAAATTATTATGATTATCATTTACCTAACTATTTATATTACCTACAAAGAACTATTATTTATTATCAATAGTTAACACTGTATATTGTATAGTTTTGTATTTTAAAATTAAACATTTGGTATTTTGTATTTTAAATATAATTTCAAAAAAACATGAAATATTTTTATACTATTTTAAATTTATTTTGCATTTTATATTTTATATAAACTATGTAACCACTTTGCTTTATAAGAATAGATAATATTTATTCAAAATAATCAAGTGAAACTGTGAGAGTATCCAATAACATAGAAACTTACATTTTAAATTATTTACTTTGTGGCTTTATCACATATAGTAATACTATATATAAATATATATAATTAATTATACAATATATTATATACTAATTTTAGAATAGTTATAAATAATATATATTAGTATAATACTTTTAGACATCAGACCGGCACTTGTTTTACACCTATGAATTTGAAAGAATTCATAAAATTCTATAATGTTAGATTATTATAGTTGATAGAACTTTTAAAAAGTTAAAAAGTTAAATTTGATAAAAAAAATATAAAGATATGCCTACCACAAACGACATTAGATTAACTAATCTGAAATTTAAATTAACTTAACAAAAATCATGATAAAAATTTTAATAATTCTAAACATTAGAATAATTTGGAAATTAGTAGATAAAACTACAATGATACTACTCAACCACAATTACAAATGATTTATTATTAGATCAACTTAAAAAAAATTACCTAAAAAGCTAACCTCAACATATAAAAAGATTGTTTTTTCAACTGCTCCTCCTGTTTTTAATTTAACCAGGGTATATAACCTGTAGTTAATATGATTAATACATACCACTTTTAAAGATTTTTATAATATATATGATTTTAATTACAAATCACAAAATATGTGTTACATCTTTAAATTTTATACACAAAAATTGTATTTGAACATTTTATTCTGAATCCAAATAAATAATTTGAGTATTTTTCTAAAATCTTGATAGATACAAGATAAATTCCTAGATGGTTAAAGCTTTAGTATATATGATGATTTGTAGTATCCATTTGAATCAGTCGTATGGCGTTGTGACAGATGTATATCTGATAGCTGTACTGTCCCAAATGTATAATCATTAAATTTCTGCAAAAAATATTATATAAACATATTAAAATTTAAAATTATAATTTACTTTAATTGTTTGTTGAGTTTATTAATAGATATAACTACTAAATTAAAGAAAGTAACCCATCCAATTCAAGTAGATTATTTATAGAAATTTGTCTACATTTATTTTGTCAATCTTACTTCAATTATTTTTCTAGCATCAAATGTAAGATGAGATTTATTGCCAGAATCTCCATTAACAGTACATTGATAATCGTAGAATCCAGAATTCATCAAAGTTATATGTAGCTTTACATGATTATTTCTTGGTTGTAATGCCAAATCTAAAAATTTAACAATAGTATATAAATAATAAAAATGTGTTTTTGATGTGAACCAAGAAAAGATTATTTATTCTATTTACCACAATCTTCAAAGAATGTTTGTATATTATCCGCCAAAATTTGAATTTCAGGACTTTCCACTTTGGCATATAAAACATTCACTTCTGATGGATCATCATTCATATAATCTAATCCAGAAACTAATACATCCAAGGTTTTCAAATTCATAGGTCTTAGAAAATATATTAAGATTAATAATTTTATATTCATGTATTATAGATATATATTATATTAATTCTGTACTTTATTACAGTATTTTCACACTGTTCCATTAATTTGATAGCTCTTTTAATTTCTGCTGTATTACATAGCACAAAACAAGTAATTGTTAAATGAAGTTTGAATTGATCTTGAAATAAAAGTTCAGTGACACCACGGCATTGACCACATTCATCAAGAACCATTTTCTATTAAATCCAAAATTATTTTAAAATACCAACATTTAATATTTAACTAAACAATAAACTTTTTAAATTACAAATATTTTTATGTGTTATTTCTAATTTGGGTACCTTGAAAGCTAAATAATTTTCAATCACTATTGGATTGACCATTGGTAAAGAAATAAAATGAGTCATACTCTGTTTGGATCGACCTCTCTTTATAATTGCATCAATTTTTGATTTAGCAGCAATAACATGGGCCCTTTGTTCTCCTTTAATAGCTAAAAATTAAAATAATATCAAGATTTAAAATAATATTTTAATCGATATTGAGCGCAATATGTTTAATTCAGACATTAATAAAAAGTTAATACATTAATATAATTTATATCAAATACTAAGTATGAAAAAACATTGAGAACAAACAATTAAAATCCAAATTTAATTTTTATTTTAATTTTATTTAAAACTAATAGGAAAATTTTTTCATTATACCAATAACCTTTTATTACCTATATTATGATTCTTAAATCTTACTTAATAGTTTACATTGAATAATTTAAAAAAAAAAAACAACTTACTTATTACATTATTTTCTCTCATACTAGGAATTTTAATTCTAGTTCTTGTTTGATATTCAAGATTCTTAAGATTTTCTCGATTTCTACCAATGATCAAACCATAAAATATACTAAAATAAAAAAAATTTTGTCAATTTAAAATCACTAATACCTAATAATTCTTTATTAAAATTCAGTATGTTAGAATTCTAGAAAAATTCTGAACCATGAACATTTAATAATTTGTTTACTGACTTCATATTACTGTCATTAAATTTCATTTAATTTTACTTTAACTGAAAGAATATTATCAAAATATGATACCAATATATCATATTATATGCCTAAAATGTATTAATACATAACTCAGTTATTCAGCTGAATAAAATCTAATCAGTTAATTATTATTTGCTATAAATTATAATGAATTTGTTAAACAATAACTTACTTTGGAGCTTCTAGTTTTAGTACACATCGATCACCTTCCATGTAAATATTTAAATCATCAAATTCTTCTTCATCAATATCTATAAAAATACCAACATATTTTTAAAGACATGCATTGTGAGAAATAGATGTGATCCTATGTTTTATCTATCTACATCTTTTGTTCACATTTTAGAACATTTTGACAATTTAAATTTTAAAATTAAAATCAGAACACTCAATGTTTGTATTCTGTTGTCAAAAATACTAATAAAATGATTAAATATCTAATACCAAAGTCAATCCATAAAATCTCACCATCTCTTTCGACATAAGACGGCAGGTTTTCAGATGCTTCATTATTGTGCATTTGTGTTTCAGGTTCATCATACTCGTTTGGACAACAATCAGAAGTATTTAATCGATACTTTCGACCATCGATGTCTATTATCTTTGGACGTAATACATCCATGACTTCACAAGCTTACGATGTACAAATAAAAATACCCACAAAAAATAATGAACCGTGATTTTGAGTTGATAAAGTAAAAAGTTCAAATATTATCAAATGAGTTTTTCTATGACTTATGAGGTTGTTCTATTCATGGTTCTTTACTTCTTTGTCACTGTTTTGGGCAAGTCATAATTATTAGTGTGGTTATATTATGTGGTAACTCAAATAAATCTACGAATGATGTTTAATACGTAAAAAATAAAGATTAAAGAGTGAAAAGTAAACTAAAGCCCATAATCTGTATTGTATATTAATTATTAATTAAAAACTAAGGACTAATGTAACTACTACTTAGTAACTAATAAGTAGTAAGTACTAAACTACTAACCTGTCCTATGATCTACTCTGACTAGTCTGACTCTCCAGTCTCCAGTGATTCAATTATTATTTATTATATAGTCTATGATATGAATGCTAAATAAATGATAAGTGATAATTAATCATTGATATCTAAATGTTGATATTATCACAATATAGGTACATAGAATAATATCAAGAATTTCCAAATTATCATTTAGCTATACATTTTTTAATAGCTAAAGCTTAAAAAATTTAAATTAATACAAGGTCTTAAATTCCAAACTTGACCTAAAAATATCTATGAAAATAACTATGTTTACATATTTTTAAAACTTTTTAGTCACAACGAGGAATAGTTTAAATTTTTTGACTACTCTACGGTTAAAGTATTGAATTATTTATGAGAAATCTTGCATGTATTATATTTTCAGTACTTAATACTTATCTATACAAGTTGAATAATTACAAAATTTTCGATAGAAAATTCTTACTTTATTGCTTATAAAAAATATCGTGACAATGTATTTTTGATTTTTTTAATTAGTAAACGAACAACTAGAACCTAACTTGTAAGGAATTTAACCTAACCTAAGCTTTTTGTCTCATCAGAATAATGTTATTGACATAATATATAAAAAAAAAATTTCAAATTCAAATGTTTATAAATAGCTCAAAAAGAATCAAAATATTAAAATATTTTAAAATTTAATCTATAAAAATACTGATACAAACATTTGGTGAACATTTTAAGTACCTAGTGGCTAGTACCTACTTAGGTACATGGTTATTGGTTTTTGAATCACATCAACAAAAATTAAATCAATTTTGTCAAATACTGCGGTTTTGGATGAAAATTCTGGTTTTTCCATTTGTCTTGAAAAGTGCCAAGCATATTTTTTGTTATAATTTCCCAAAATATCAACAGGCAACTTGATTCAATTAGATACCAAAAACCACCCTCGAAATTGAAAATCGAATAATTATTTCTACCTTAAAAAGTAATGACCAAAAAAAAAATAATAAAATAAAAAAACACATGCCATTGTACAATTAATACATTTTATACATTCATCGCTTAGCTCTGAGTCTAAAATGGTTTTACAAGAATATAAAAAGTACCATTATTGCTCAGGAACAAGGGATGCGATTTATTTAAGTCATTATACTCAAGTCTCAAGGCCTCAATTAATAATATAGTCAAGATGCCAAGTAAATTCAGTAATGATGGACTAAGTATAGAATAAATAAAGTTTATTAATTAATAATAGTGACTCCCAACAATATACGAAAACCAGAGATTTCGTTCAACTGCACGTGTAAACTGTAAATCCTAAAAATCTCATTAACTATTTGATTATTGTATAATTGACATTTTATGCGGTTCAAAACCGTATGTTATGGTAAACAAATAAATATATAAATAATGTAATCAAATATTATACACGCTTAAAAATAAATTAGAATAACTAGCATGTTTATACACTGTTCAAAACTTTAAAACTTAACCATGCATAGCGTTGGCATTCTATCGAATTCCTAGGAATTGTAAGAAATGTCTAACTTTAAACGCAATATTTTAAATGACATTTTAATATAATATACTGCCAAATATCACAAAGGATTCTATAGATTCCTAGGTGGCATTTTTGGATTTTTATATAATTTTTGTCTAGTGTGTAGGTATGTAATTAACACATCGTCAATAACATGCGCAATATTATGCTCGATTTTAATACACATAATATATACTTAAAGTCATTTATTATTGATAAATTGCAACATATTATTATAATTTATAATCAATATAATCCATTAAAACGAACGACTTAATATTCATTGTAGTAATAAAAGTGTTATCAAATAGATCACAGTAAACCATGGTACATTACGTGAACAAAATTGTACTTACATTTATACGTAAGCATGATACTAGTGTACATAAGCTTTTATAGGTACATTTTTCTAGGGGAGGAATAAAGATTTTATTTACATTTTATTTATAATAGGTACATTATTACAATTAGGTAAAAAAAATTAAAATTTTAGGGGGAATGCCCCGTCTTTCCCACCGCTTAGGTACGCCCATGCTATAAGTGTAAGAATAATTATTATCAGGTACAAAAAATGAAATAACATGCGATGATTACCAACTAAAAAATGAACCCCCGTATCCCCCGTAAAATATTTCATGGGCGCGGCGTCAATATAAATTAATGTCTGGTATTACCAGTCAAAGTTCGTATTTTGAACTTAACTTTGTACAGTGTCCTAGCTGACCTAGCTATTGTCGTACCGTAATTGACTAAAAATATCTGACTAGACTCGGAGAAATAATACTGTCATATGTCAAAATCAAATGATTATGTGTATGGAGTTCGGCTATATTCGTGTCCACACGCGCGTACTTATTAACTATGACCTATAATGGCTGTAATATAAATAATACAGCATGAAACGTTTCATTCGAGAATTCGACAATTAGTTCCACAGTTTACTACTCGTCTCAAATAGTCATCAACTTTCTATATATCCAAACGGCCTTGACACACTTTTTTCGAGCCACGATCATTCCCAGTTATCTACAGTAATTACCTTATCAGATAAACAGATCCATAAGATAATTTTACAATTAATAATTATCCATTCATTTTACTATTGTTATGTTACTGACTTATATTTTTTATAGTCGTATTATTTTTTTTTACGCCCAAAATCTGCTTAAAAATAAAGAGTAACTGATTATCTTCATTGAAATAACGATTTAACGATTTTCATCACCTATGGATAACTCCACAAAATCTCAAGTATGTATTTGAAGACACTTTAACGTTTCCCTTTCTTTGCATTAAAGAATTTGTCATGAGTTAATATTATATATGTGTATAAACATATTTATTTTATGTTTTTGTACATAGACGTTGATCGATCATGCAAGTATTGGTATCACAGAAGCTGACAAGCGTATGAATTCAGCATTAAGCCTTAAGGAATACTATACTGTATACATCATTGAAACAAAGTAACGTACATGACAAAAATATTCTTAAATCATCATATTATTGCTCATTACTACCTATCACAAATCAAATAACTCTTTACCTTGTGCTCTTAGAATTGACAGTGAGACATGGGCTGAATCAAAAGGAATGCAAAAATTGTCATTGGCAACTCGACGATATACTGACTTTGTGACACTTCATAACCACTTGGGGGATAAATATCCTTGGGTTATCATACCACCGCTGCCAGAAAAGAAACAATCTTTTATGTGGAACAGTGAAGCTGTGTCTGATACTATGGATCCAGATTTTATTGATAGAAGACGTGCAGGACTAGAGGGTTTTCTCAAGAGAATAGCTAGCCATTCTGAAATAGGTTATGATGAATGTTTTCTAAAATTTTTAGGCGAATGTGATAATTGGATAGATTTATCAAAACCGCATAACAGTGAGTCCAAAATATTTATCATAAATATTACAAAGTAGATAATAGAAATTATTGAAATTGTTTATTATCTAAAATACAATAAATAAAAAAAACCTTTTAAGATTACTGTTTTTACGATTATAATTTTAGACATCTTAAAAGATACAGAGCTTACAATTAAAACAATGAACGCATCATTAAGAGGTAGAAATTCTGATAATCGATTTGAAGCAATTAAAACATATAGCAATAAATTACAGGTATACCTCATACCAAACATGAATTTCAATAATTAATTTATATTTAATAAATATTTTGTTTTTTAGGGTTCTATAAATAAGATATTAACATATCGAGCAAAACAAGCACAGCGACTCTACAACGTAGATATGATTCATTTACACTATGGTAGAATTTTTAGTGAACTCAGTGCTGTAGATAATGATATTGGTGATGCAGTTCAGGTATTACTGTATAATCATGTTCATTTATATTAATACTTAAACATTTAATATAATACTTATGTTAGTATAAGAAAAATAAATTAATTTATATATAAAAAAAATATATATATATTTTACATTATTAATTTTATCAATAATAAAAATATTTTATTTTCTTATAATAAATCCCTCCTTAACCACTACATTTTTTTTTACTATTTTATTTTTAAAGATTTAAATTAGTATTTTTTTTTTTTTTTTAATGATAACTATCTGATTAAAACTCTAAAGTATATAATATGAAATAAAACTTAAATATTTTTAATATTAACCCTATTATAAATATTTTTTTATTTAGAGAACAGGTCATTATATGGACTCAATTGCTTCAGCTATTAGTCCAGCATTGGAAGATGAAGAGGTTATTATGGACCAATTAAAAGAGTAAATAATATTTATTATTTAATAGACTATAATATTTTTGAACTATTTATTTTTTTCATTACCTTTAAAATTATGTTATAATAATGTAATATGTTATTATAATTTAATGTTTAAAATAACTCAAATTTGAAGTAAATACTTCTGTTTTTTATATAATAATTTATTAATAAATGTGATATGATATAAGTTACTGTACATTATCATTAAACTATTTTTAATATATATTTTTTTAGATACTTGGCTTTTACAAACTCTCTGCACACTTTTGTCAAAAATCATGATACACTGAATTATAACTTAAACCAGTTAAATAATATGTCAAATACTAAAGGTAATTTAAAATTATTTATTATATTTAATTAGTACATACAATGTAATAATATTTACTAAATTATTAAAATCTTAAAAAATAAATACTTTGCGTGTATATTTATAGTCGTGTTTTCAAGATGCAAGCATTTGTAAATGGTTTATTGCTACTTATAAACAGTGCATGGTTGTTAAAAATATAAATTTCATATATTCGCAAGATCAGTTAATTTTAATATATCCTAGATACTCTAGTATTCTAACTATTGATAATCATCTGTGAAACACTAAGTTAACAAAACTTAAGAGAATATTTACACATTTTAGTGCTAACTGTTCTATAATTATACCAAATTGTTTAAAATAAATAAACAACTGTTATATATCCAAGTATAATAAATAAATATTTTTGATTGTTGGTATAATATTTTATTACATTTTTGATACTAGATATTTAATTATAAATAAATGTACATTATGTTATGTATAAATAATTTGGTTTTAGAAACCAGTGGGATAATGTCCAGACTTTTTGGTTATACTGCAGCTGCAGCTGATCGTGATGCAGCAGCAATTGAAGCTTATGAAAATAAGAAAATAGAAGCCAAAGCAAAGTATTCGTAAGTAACTCTACTATAAACACAATTTTAGTTATACTAAATAATTATTTTAATATTATTTAACAATATTTTTTTATCGACGCTTTTTTAGAAGCATCATTGTTATTTAAAAAGTGATTTTTTTTTACTAAATTGAATTTTGTTTTGTTTATTTATATTAATTTATCAACTATAATAATATGTAAAGAGAAATATTGGTTCAATTATCGAGTTTTTTACTACATCCATGATATCTTCTTAACATTTATTTAATATTTACTCTATTGTTTACTTTTAAAATTAATATAATGCATTAAAATTAGCATAATTAATATTGAATTAGTAATTAATATTCAATTTTATTTTAGTGAGTTTGTTGATAAATCATTAGAAAATTACAAAGAATTTGAGAACCAAAAAGACTTAGATCTTATGAAAATTCTTAAAGATTATGTAGCATTCCAAACTAAGTATGCTCAAAAGGTTTGTATATTATTTAAGTTCATTTATAATTGAAATACAATATAATACTACCATTAAGTATCTAGCTATCATATTTATTATTTATTATAGTTACCATTTAATACTTTCTATTTATTAAAATTAAATTTTATATAAACTAAAATATTTTTCTGTTATGAATCAATTATTGATTATAGTTTGTTAATATTTAATATAATAGTAGACATGTTTGAACATAATTAAGCTGTTATATTTACATTATTCAGTTCAGTGGTTAAATTAGTTGTGATATAACAGAATATAACTGAACTTACTAAACATAATAACTTTATTTATAAAATCAAACTTTTTTTTAAATTCATATATATGGTCTACACATTTTTTGAATTATATAATAAATGGAATATTTTTAATGTTATTAGATACACATTAAACTATGTTTATTTGTATAGTTTATCTAAAATTAAATAAAATGTTTTTTTACAGGGACTTCAAACGTGGAAAAATATTTTACACAGCATACAAAGTATTGAATAAACCATTGCAGCCTTTACATATCATCATTATTTAAGTCAATTATTAATTAATTTTATTCATCATTATGTACCTAAATAGTCATTTTTATGTTAATTTAATACTAGGTCATTCCAATATTGTTGAAAATAGTCTACTTAAAACTGTGAATGCTGCTAATGAATCACTGAAACAAATTTTAAGTAGGCATTTCTCGAATTCATTATATTGTTATTTATTTTATAATTAAATTGTATAATCATTTATAAATTCATCCAAGCACGTAATATGTTAAATTACATTTTTTTATGCAATTCGTTAGTTAATTAAAATACTTGTTATTTATTTGTACATAGTATTTAAAAACTTAATGTGCCTAACTGAGATTGATAAAAACAAACAATGTATATTAATTTTACCACATTTTTTTGTACAAATTAAATTAGTTAAATTTGAATTATTAAACATTTACACTTGGATATTAAAAACATCTGTTTTAATATTTTCTTTATTATCAAATCTAAAGTTGTTACCAAATATATATGTATATTTATTTACTTAATTATATTATTTTTTAGGAACTAAATTATTTTGTGTACTTTGTATTCTATATTTAACTGGACATCTACAAAAATGTGTTAAAAAATATTATTATGATTAAGTTCTTAATTTTTTATTTAAACTATGTGAAATGCATACTTTTTTTGCCTGTGAGATTAGAATATTTTAGCTGATCTACTAACATATTTTATTTGTTCTGAATCACAGAGAGTGCCTACATACTTACACATCCTTAATTAAAATTGCATAGCTAATTTAATCAACTATAAATTCTTATTATACTTCAATAAAAATAATCTTTTATAATGTATAGGTGTAATGTATAAATACTGATTTGATTAAAATTTTAAAAGTTAATAATAAATAATGAATATTTTAATAGGTTTTAACTAACATATATTTATACATAAACTTACTATTAAACAAAAATATGTTTTAGAATAAACTCAGTTTATTAGCTAATTACCAATTATTTTTTCTTGAAATTTATATTATAAATTATAAGATACTGAATTTTAAAGCATTTAAAAAAATTATAGTTCCTTTTTTTACTTTGGAAGTTATATCTATGAAATTAGAAAAAATAATTAATTTTTTTAATAGAATTTGTACATAATAGATATTAAAATAAATACCATCAACATTTTCATTTCAAAGAACTATAAAATAAATGTTGAACATTGAATATATAAATATATCTTAACTATATTTAAGAAGGTATTCATGATATATTTTATGTTTGATATCTGAAATATTTATTTATGAATTATCAAGAATGATGTAGTACATTTTTAAGTTTTTCATTCATAATTATTTAATACATATTACATAGTCAAAAAAGTTATAAATTTCAAACATCTATTAATAATCCAAAAAAATCCTAAGTACTGATACTGTTCATATTTATTTTGATTAATAAAAAAACAAAATAGGTATATCATATCAAAAACCGGTGTTGTGTACCATCGACCTAAATGACTAGGAACGATTTTGACCTTATGACTACTAACAAATGCATTAATGATAATTCAATTTTATAAAAAATCTGTGTCTTAGAACTCCAAAGAGTAGATTGAGCAAAAAAAAAAAAATTGAAAAGTGCTTGTTATAAAATTTTAGATTCTGGGTGAATTAGATCAACTGTTTTTTAAAGCAGACTACATTAAATTCTTTGAGGAAGAGCATTTGAAATTCTACAGTAATTATTTTTTGGAAAAAAGTGTAAAAAGTTATATTTTTAGTATTTTTTTTTTTTTATTAATTTATACTGATTGAAAAACTATTCTACATTTTTTCAAACTATTTATTTTTAAATACATGTATTTCTTATAAATGTAGTCATTATTTAATTAAAAAATACTTTTAGAACTTAAGAAATTGTCCCATGTATTATTTGAGCATATTGATAAGATATAAGAAATTGTTTACGAAAATGAAACTTCATGAAACATTCTAAAAAATATTGCTATGAACATGAAGGCATAATAGTATTTCCCTTATTTAGCACTAAGTTATATGCTATTATCAAAAAATTATCCAACTGTTCCAAACATTCGAGTCCCCTGGATTAATAGTCCAATTTTTTTCGGAATTTTTATTTTATTTTTTTCCAATAATATCAATAAAGAGGTACTTTGAAAAATCTACTTTTGACTCTTAAAAATAAAAAAAATATCCAATTTCTTACTAGAAACTATAGAAACTACTTCAATGTTAAAGATCAGAATCGTGTTCTAATTATATTAGGTAGGTACATACTATATAAGTAGATTATATAAAGTATTTTGCAAACATAAACAAAAAATATATGCATGGAAAAAAAACACATTGTTGGAAAACCAAGAACTCCACTCAGAACTTTTAAGTTAAGACTATTACGAGTATATTACATTGAATTGATTAAATTTAAATCAATTTAAACGTTATCGAATCTACCTAATATTCAAAACTTCTCCCCTATAGCCTAGATATATATTATTATTAAATCTTGTGCTGATTAAAAAATAATATTAGAATACCTGTGATATTTATGTACAACATATAATAATAATAATAATGTTAATAAGACGGTAATAAAAAAGTTTTTTTTATTGAAAATCATTCACCACACTGGTCGGTTTTTCAACAAATAACTATAACGTACACGGAAATAGTATATAGAATAACAATAGTGTTATGAATTATGATATAACAAACAAAAAACTTTCTGTAAAAAGTTTTATAAATTAAGAAATTTAAAAAAATTGTGACCTCAGTGTCAAAATCTATTACGTTAAAAAAGTCAAACGTAAATACCTATTATAGGAATATTAAATTACGTATAAACAAAACACAGAATTGCGAAAAAATATTTTATTTTGGACATATTTATATAAAACATAATCTATTCTGTTTAAAAGTTTAAAACGTTTATTATTAATTTTAACTAAACAAAAACAAAATATTGATAATTTTACATTTTTTTGTATTAAAAAGTGTAGCTTAAAGTAGTCTAATAAAAAATATTATAAGCTACAAACATTATTATTTAGTTTTTATTGTTGAGTACAATCATTCCGAATTAAATTTTTATAATTTTTCATTGTACTTTTAACGTATGACCGTTTAAAACGGTTTGAAGAAATTTTATTTTTGAAAGTTTATTAGATCATTATCACGTTTACTTTTTTTTAATGAACGAAAATTCTATGTTTTAATCAGTAGATGTGGATATTAATAAAGTGGCCGTTTTAGCGTAAAGTGAACAAACGGCGTAAAAAACGATTGTAATACGACTAATACGAGTATTGACTATTATTATACAAGCGTTGTATTAAGGCTATTATTAACTATTATAGAATTAAATAGGTATAGAAATTTTAGTTTTTAATCTTACAAACACATCAGTGAAGATTAAAGAATATGTTAAAAGTTAGTTTATTGAAAATCACCGTAGGTAATAGGTATACATAATATAATATATTATTATTTTTACTGTTTATACACGATCAACTTGACTTAACCTTTAATCTATACATTTACTTAGAAATACACACTCATAAACAAATATAGACACCGGTATACAAGGTGAATTTCTTATTATCACTCAATTGTAATTTTTTCGGTATAAAAGTATGTGTTTCTTAAAATTTATTTTTACAAAAATTGAAGCCGAAATGGCTAACCACAAGATTTTTTTGAAAAATCATTCACTGTATAAATATTTGTATAGGTATGATTTATTTACGACTGAAAGTTTGAAATTCGATTTCTGTACGCATTGAAATTCTTAGAAAAATACTTTACTTAAGGATAAGTAATATGGTGTGTTAAAAACAATAAAAATGTATGTCGTATAAAAAAAAAAGTTAAAAAATTATAACTATCAATAACAGAAGGAAATATCGATTTCCAAGTACCTCCACCGTTGTCTCTAATAATCATGAATAATGTAAAAAAAAAAATAATAAAAAAACCCAACAAATAATATTATGTTTTCGAATATAGATACCTACACCTAGAAAATTACGGAAAAAAACGACTGTAGTAAAAGAATCACCTTGTGTGCACATTTTGTGCTCTGGTCACTAGGGCGATGTGGTGTATGTGTTGTTCATTCGTTAATGATGTATACGAAGTAATATACCTGTAATATCGACCCACGCAATGTTTAAAATACAATCTAGCACTATCGACCGCCCACGCGCGCGTCGAACATTTTTTACGTTGTATCGTTTTTTTTTTTTTTTCATTATTATTATTACTAAATCGTGACATACTAGTTTCCCTGCGTGCACCGATCATTCGCAGCCGTCAACCGCTGCCGGTCGGATGACGTCCGGTGACGACCAGCTACGAACGATCGGCGCGACGACTTGTCCGCCGGCAACGAGACGCACGCTGCACTCGTCGTCGTCGGCCGTGAAGAAAGTCGACGACGGCATCGCCTTGTGGGGCGTAACGGTCCGGTCCAACTGTCAGATTGCATTGCCCGTCTTCGGCACACTGTTTCTGGTCGTCGGCATAGTGCTCACAGGTAAGACGACGCGCCCGTCGCTGTTATCCGTGCGGAAATGGTAGGGAGAGGTAGCCGGTCGAAATTGGTGCGATTATCGTCGACTGCAAAAATATATATTTACGTTAAACCTCAGAGCGCTCGAGCATGCTTCGTTTTAGATAATCATTCGTCAAATTTACGATTATACCTACGCAGTGATTGTTTATCAGCTAGATTATCGTCTCCGGTCGATTTCACGGGCATCACGTCAGTCGAGAACGGTTGATTTTTTCATTCAATTTACCTGACGACATTTAAGTGAGCTGGACGAGCGTACGACAAACATGCTAAAAATTATCGTCACTACAGTTCAGCAGTTCTCAACTATTCTGCAGTTGCGCACTACCAGATGACTTATTAAACAAGACTATGGGCCATTATATCCATACAAGGTTGAAAGTTTAAAAGCTACGTTAAAAGTAGATTTTTTTTCCTAATTAAATATGGTTTTAAATTTTTTTATCGCGAACTGGTGGTTGAAAACCTGCACTAATGGAATCTACTCATCGAATCCACAGTATATACATTTGTCACTATAATTGCTGTTATAGGGTCAATCTGTAGGATCGTTTTACGTCCCTTCAAATATTTATTTTTTTCAATTTATTCAAAAATACAATTATATCTGCATGAAAAATCTATATACTTAAAGCTGGAATTTTTATTAAAGTACCTACTCAGATTGTCAAATCTTTAAAATAATATCTTGATTTTTTAGAATATAAAAATTAAAAAGCCACACAAAAATTTCGTTTAACTGGTCAATGACAACTGAACAAATATAATAGTATTGAAACAATTGCAAACATTTTTAATAACCATTTTTACCATTTCATGCGTGACGTCGATATATAATATTTATTTTATTTTATTCAATATCGACATGAAACCAGGACATAATGTTTTGCGTTAAAATTTATAGAATGCACGCACACATATATTATATATTATAACATAATCCGTATCGTAATAATGTCAATGTACCTAACATGTTTATATGTTAATACATATGTTATACCTAGCTTGAAATATTCTTTTTTGTAAAATATTGTTTTTCTAAATACTATTACATTATAAAATTTATTTTTATACAACATTATTTTTTTAATAATCATCTAAAAATCAAATTTCTAAAACGTGTTACGAAATTTATCGTTAAAGCTAGTCTGCGATAATAAGCATCACCGTTTTAATGTTAAAAATTCAGAACCATAACAATGGAAATATTTAGTTCATAAACAGCCAACTAAAATTAACAATTTTAGTTAAAAATTTCAATAAAAACAAAACAATTTAACTTGGTATTTAAGTATTATAATACTTAATATCGTATCGATATGCACAACTATAAAAGATACACATTTTGGATGGGCTCACTCATAATTAAATCTTTTAGTTTTATAACTAATATCATTGTTAATAAATAAGTATTTATAAAAAAATGTTAAAGTGTTTGACCAATATTCTTAAAATTATTTAAGAAATAACAGCATTATTGTTGTAAATTCCATAATAATATGATTTATATCGGAAAATATTATATTATTAAATTGTAAATTCTAGTACGGCGCTTTATATAGGCAATTTAGGGCCATGGATTTATTTTCTGTCAACATAATATTGTACGTAGGTATTTTATTCTAATTATTATTACTATTAACTATTAAAGCTAGGGACTTCATACTCTAAAAATTCTTTTTTTTCGCATTTATGCTTTTAAAAAATTACCATACATAAATGCTTTAAAATATACAATAATGCTAAGTATGTAGTTAAAAATATTTTTTTTTCTTTAAAAACCCGAAAATTAAAAAATAAATGTATAAATTATTGAGTTAAGCATTTTAAATTTAATTTTCACAAATAAAAACTATACCTAGTCTAGAATATTATACTAACTTAATTAACGTAAGACGAAAATATATACGATACTACAAACAAACAAGTTGACATCAATTGACCGTAATCGGCGTATTCTTTATCGACCAATTTTATGTTTTTTATAACACACAAATAATTGGGAAACACATGGTAGATAGAATATTTATAGTTTATACATTTGATCATTTTAATTTATTTTTTCCAATTTCTAGAAAAGTCATATTAAATATTATATAGTATTTTTTTTTTTTTTTTATATATATATACAGATTATTAAAGTTATTTTTATAAATAAATAAAAAAGTAATAAAATAAAATTCACGAAATATGTACATTTTACTTATAATATAAATAAAAAAAAGTATACATTTATAAGGTAAAAAGACCAAAATAAAAATGATTGCTTTAAACTTCAAGTACCTATTATGAAACAAATGTCTAGATTACTTAGCGCGACTATGTTTTGAATGATTATTGAAAAACATGCAAACTCCTACAAGTCCCTACCCCTAATTATTATCATTAATACATTAAGAGTTAATGATTTCTTGATAATATATTGTAACACCAGATGTGTGTACATTGTATTGTGTTTATTTTTGCAATGATAAAATTAAATTTATTCACGCAGTGATATCTTACGGCTGGGTAACTGGAAGCGGCGAAGACGAATCAAAACGCAAATTCTATACGTCGTCGGAAAACGGACGATTATTGGGGCCTATATGTTTGGTCGTATCAATCGTAATGTTCATCGCGACAGCTGTGCTTCGGACAATCAGTACAAAAGCCCGTTTCCGGCAAACTCGCGTCGGATTCCACTGTCCCGTCCACGGTGATTTCTTTCCAATCAGTCCTGGTCCCGATCCGAGGAAATTTTCTTGTGAGTGTATATCAACAAATCTAAACTATTAAAAACCCAATATTTTTAAAACATTTCAAAACTCTAAAATTTTAATAAACACACAATTAAATAATAATAAAAAAAAAAAAAACAATATGCAACAACCATTCTTTTGAAATCAAACCATATTGGTATATAATTTCATTTATTACGGACGATAAATATAATTTAATATTAAATAAAATAATGAAATATGTTTCTATGCCTGTATTTTACCTATTTCATCTTTTTTTTTCATTTAATCACTCTATAAGAGAAAAATGTATATTATATACTCACTTTTGTCTACTATATCTGAACGGTGTTGTTTTTACAGTTTCTATGGAAAACATTTCTGAAGACCCGTGGACGTGTAACTGCTTAAATCGATCGAAGGGAGACTCTCAAGAAACGTTGGCCATCGAAGACTTGTCCCCGCAATGTCCGCACAACGGGGCACACGGGAACAATACTAGGAGTCCGAGTCCCGTGTCCACTTGTCCTACGCCAAAACCGTTTTTGATATTCACCGATTCCGCGCACGGGTGGGTATTATACTGAAATATTTATAATTTTACCGCTGCAATCACATTATAGTTATATATTGTAACTTGTAAGTCAACTGTTTAAATCAGTTGATCCGTAGTGAAATCAACAGGATCAAACCGCACGCGTTGATAGTACGTTTTTTTTTTTTTGACAGTATGTTAAATACGTCATTAATGACCACGATTCAAATGCTCTAGATATTCGCATGCGTTTGTTTTTGTGTTCAACGTTTAGAATTTTCAGAACCCAACACGCATAGACCTTACAAAAATTTAATTTAATTTATAACGACAATTTCATGCACAATGGTCTTTGGGAGATCAAGTTATGTGACCATTTTTTCGAATTTTGAGTCGCCTATCCGATTATAGCAGGTTTTGATCGCCTCAATGGTTTTAGTGGTGCACGTGCCAATTGGTCGACCACTTCTTGTTTCATTTTCAACCCAAATTAAATTTTGTACACCAAACCAATACATCTTTTCGAGACATTTTGTGTGGACCATAATCTTTGATTATTTTTCAATGAAATCGGAGAAATATTTTGAAAATTAGTATATCGGATGACGGCGCAAACTTCTTTCGTGTAACTCGAATGTAATTGGTTTAAGGTTTTTCATGTTTATAATTGAGTGGCCGACAGGAGACTAAATTATAATAATCATTTTACGTAAAATATTTATGTGGTTTTTTATCTAAATTATTGATTCTGGAAATGTTTTACCATATGGTTCATTGTGATTTATGTATGGTAAAATAACTTTGTACCTTGATTATCGGACAACCTACGTATTAAAATTTTTCTTCCATATTTATAACAAAATAAAATTTTAACGTTTGTTAAGTTTTGATTAAATTTAATCGGTTTTTAATAGTATTTTTGGATTGAATACATTTTAATAAATACCGTAAAATTTACCTTATTCAAATTATAAAAAATATCAATTTGAGTAATTAGTTGTGTAATATTTTATTATTCTTTCTCCTGCAATGTATTTTCAGTGCTTGCAAGGAACTATATAGCGGAAACACTCTCTTCCCAGACGAACCGTTCGGATCGATTCGATCTCTGTCGGTTCCCAACGATAACTTGGCCGTGGCGTGTTTTCCGGTCGAACACAAGCCTGAACAGTACTTGAACGTACCAGAAGATTGTTGGTCTCACAAAAGGTAGGCATCACACACGAAACAATGATTTATTTTTATATTAATAAAAACATTTTTGATTATAATATAACGCTATCTTGATTTGATCGGCAGGCGATTTAAAACATACAAAAGCTCAAACGTCATAAACGTAATAATGACGTGTCAGCGCTAAAAGCAAATCAACCCGTCAATCAAATATATAATTATAAAAAAATTATTCTTAAACTATTCAATTATGTGAATCTAATTAATAAACAATAATCACAGGGCCAATTACCGAGGAAATGTTAATCTATAGGTTCATTGTATACGTGGAAGTTCTCAGGAGACACTCAATCTATAACATTTGAAGAAGAATGTTTCAAATATTTAACATTATTCAAATAGTTGTATTACCAATTGGTGCTAGCAATTCATTATAATTTATGCCGGTTTCAGTAATATTTTAAATATCTAAAAATAAAAAGATCAGTAGATAAATGAACTATTCCTAAAATATCTTTATAATTGGTCATATACCGCGGAAACATGAATTCAACACCACGGTTTAATTACATTTCACAAAATGCGATTGCCCATTATTGTTAGAAATATGTGAATTATATACGTAGTTTTTATATATAACTTCGACAACGATAATTCACAAATAACTACACTTATTTTGCTGGAAATATTTGTGTATATTACATGCGTGATGTCGTCATCGGTTTTGATTTTTCTAATGCCAATTACCAGATTTCTTTGCTTTAGAAAATATATTATAATATATTTATAATACGTATAATATTGATAAATAACACCCATATACATATAAAACATAATTGATCGCGATATAATATTATATCTATTTTTTCACAATGAAAGTTAAGCGTCATTTAATAATATTACATAAACTTACAACATAGGTTTTAAATTTGTAGCTACGTAATAACTAATAATATAAGCTATAATTATGACATCGTGGTATAAAATAGAATTAAAGTTTATAGTGTATACCTACATAAGTATTACTGTCTTGTAGACCACACGATATTGAAAACAAACTTGTTATTGTTCTATAGTAAGTTAAAAAATTAAAAACATGTAATTCACTAAAATTGTATTAGAGTTAGTTTACTTAGTTTTTTCAAGGTCTCCAGTTTTATAAGAAACATGTTATGTTCTTTTTTTGTTAATTAAGTAGCGTTCTATCACTCGGGACCACGAAATTCATAAATTTTTAACTAAATGATTTTCTCGAATAAACGATTTTTGTATCATAATAATATGTGCGTTTTCCATTTTATTTTTCTTAAGTCTTAATGTTTTTCTTATTCACCCAATTTTCATGGCTATAAGATTTGAATTAATATTATACATATGTAACTCACAACGTGCTGTGCAACTAAAAATAATATGAAAACATTGTAGTGGTGATTATAAAATATATAACATAGATATAAAATATATATAACGATCGATAGTAGCTTGACAACCATTTTAATTGTCCACAAGACATGACCGCCGACCAATCGACGAATAAATATATTATACATACCGATACCTACTCGATCAGGATTCGCCAGTCTCTAATCGGCAGTATGTTCCGATTAATTGCCTTAGTGGTGCATTTATTACAGTAATTATTACACTATTATATTACCGTTTAAATTAAACATAACCGCAGGTTACGAGTTTTCAAACAACAACTACGTTGTATTTCACATATAATTATTTAATCATTAAATATTATTAAATTGCAGTTATAATGGTTTTTCTAGTGTTTACGAGTGAAAATCGTAAAAGTTTATTAGTATGTATAATTAAAACCCGTATAAAATCGGATAATTAAATTTCTAGAAAAAGTTAACAACAAAATATTAATAATGATATACGTATGGTTTGGGTTCATGTATTCGCTGCATCTCGATATATATTTTTACATCACAAATCACAACGATATAATTTTTAATTATTGTGTTTTTTTTCCATTTTGTTCACGACAGATTGAGTTGTCCAAGTCTGCCATCGGCGGGAGATGAATTTCCGCAGCCGGTTCACAAGCCTCTAACGCCACAAGTTGTAAAGGTGACGCGCGAAATTAAATTCGTCACGCCTGTAAACAAGAGTCCATGAGTATTGATTAATTAACCGTGTCAACTATTCCTGTTTATTTGAAAATAATTTTTTAACATATTTTATGAATTCAATAATTTGTGACTTTCAGAAATGTGATAAATCCGTAGGTAGTAGCCATATTATACTTTAGTCTTTAAGTCTAAACGCCAGTTTTTTCTACACAAAATCTCAAGTGAATATTTAATACCTAAGTATAAAATAAGTAATATTTGATAGTAAAATCATTTTTGAAATAGTATAGAATATAGCAGTTAAGAAAAAACATCAATTAACTATTAAATGTTTTATAAGAATTACGAATCAATTTTTTTTTAATAAATTATTTGTTTATTCATTATCGTGACAAATATTATTGACTTTTTTAATAAATTATGAATTTAGCCATTTAGTATATCTATAGCAAATCCATTAATTTTATGAGTTTTTAAATTTTGGCACATAATTGTAAAATATTTTAATCATATAATATGTTTAATATATAATAATTCTGTATTGTAAACACAAAAAATTGCTAACTATGTGTTTGAGATTCATTTAAAAAAAAAACAGTGTCCTAGACCCTAGGTAGCCTATAGATTATAGACGACTACTATAAATTATAGTCTATAATAAAAAGTAAAATATTTATATATCATATACATAATTTTAAATATTGATACAATTTATAAAAGCACTTGAAAACTTGTATAATTAAGCACACCTTTAAGTTTAATTTTAATTTTAATCTAGAATTAATAAAGCACTTTAGGTACTCGTACTTGCAATTTACGAATGGTAGTGTTATATTTTATCACTATAACTACTAAAGTTTTTATTCATAATTTATATATTCTAAAAATACTTTCACATATTAACTCTAAAAATTAATTGTGTACATTTATTATATACTTGTAAGTTGTACTATATATTTTTTATTTAATTTTTTAATTTTTGTATATTTATTTATTTTTATATTTTACAAAAATATTATATATTACGAAATGACGATGTTTTGGAGGTCCGCCACTCCAACACCCCAAGTTGTGAATTTTTACATTAAAATTTCACAATATTATATGTTATTATTATGTGATGAAATGTAACCACAAAAACATATTTTGTTATTTACAATATAGGAAGTTCAGAATTTCAAACTTTAATTCCAGGTACTGCAGACATGACGTTACTCCAGCACCCCGGTACCCTTCAAAATTATCTGATTGATTCGAAATTTTTTCAAAAACCATGCAACCATGGACGATTAGTCGTTTTGTACTCTTGTATATGATATGTGATTAAATATTTATTTTTTACATACTCGTAATATAATCATTATTATTTTAACAAGTCTAAGAATTAATAGTTGCTACCGGTAGTTTTGGTAATTTCGATAACTGGGGCATGTGAACCCATTTACCCCAGCCATCCAAAATATACAGCTTATTTCCGTATTTGATTGCATCAAATATCAAAATCATAATACTTTGATCTATGAAAAAAATTAACTAAAAACAGTTCAATACGTACGTTAATTATAAATTATAATAAAGAAAAGTAGGGTAAATAAAGAGCCCGGAGTAGAAAATATAATAATATAAAATCACGGGTAGGTATATTGCACATTATTATTTATTATCTAATATCTATGATCATAAAATATTATTATCGAACTATATTATTCTATGAATAGTTTACAGTAAATGATATTCGTAAATTTCTAAAACAATATGTGCGAGTATCCGTTATTTACACAATTTTCAGATATTTTGGATGGATAAATGAAAATGGTAAAAATTTTAAAATTGAGTAAAAAAAATATTTATCGTTTTGCTCATAATCATTATTTTATCTGAAACCTTGTGTTAAAATTATAAATACAAATATAATTTGCATTTTTTTGAGTTTTTTGAACTCTAAAAAAAATTATAAATATGCTGAAAATTACCAGTGCATTACAAATAAATAATGTATGCTAAAAAATGCATGTACTTTGGATGTTCACACATTATTATTAGTAAGATAATAAAACATGAAAATAGATAATTTTAAATAGTTAATAATTAATAGCTAGTAATTTTCGAGATTTTTGATTTTCAACTTTAGTTGGTCATTGGTTAAAATTTAAAAAGTTAAAAGTATAATTTTTTTCTTCATACATTTATAATAATTATATATATATATAATATTATTGGGGAAAAAAAATCACGAAAGTAAACTAAATGAGACAAGTATAGGCTTATATAAAATAACACTACTTAATAATAATAGTGACTTATTCAACACTACTATAGTAGTGTTATAATATACCTGTCTTTAGGTACTTAATTATTAATGAGTTATAACGATTTTCAAAATATTTTAATGTTTATTACTATTGTAATTTATATGGATTAAACGTCAATTAACTATTTATCATTTAAAATTGATTTTTTGAGAAAAGTAAACGTAAATTATTTGGAGGAAATGATTATTTGATTGTTTATACTACCTACCTCTAAATAAAAAATTGAAATATATTATACTATTTATACTTTATAATATATTATATTATTATTATTTTATGATATTAAACATCATAAAATTTGTATTAAAGATTATAAAACATCAAAACTTACATAAAAAAAAGAACGACTGCCTACTGATGAGTATACTAACTGAAATATAAAAAAAAAATTGTTTACATAATATAAAACTCATAACATTTAAAGGCAAGAGTTATTTTTATGATTCGTCAATAATTCACAACATTTTAAATTTCATTTCTCTGTTACAAATTACAATAAGATAGAGCCACAAGTTTATAGTACTAGTGTTTAATATCATAATATTATAACTTAAAAGTTATAACGAATAATATATATTAATACCTAATCAACACACTGCACCAAATGACCGATAAATAACTTTATTTTCGGCCCACGCATTTCAGATCAAACGTACTCCCTCGCGACCTCGCCTTGGAGTTTTATACAAATGTGAAATGACCGGGTTCGTTTAAGATAAAAACGGGCATGTTTACTTTTACTTTACACACATGTTTTCCGGTATCGTCCTCATGTAAATTTCGATAAACATTTAAGTCAATCGTATTGTTTATATTTACTTTACATTCAAATTTAATACGACCTCGATGTTTATATGTATGTATATGTATATGTATATGTTTTTATGAATCTGATAATATTTAAATATGTAAACATATAGTTTATTAAATAAACGACGCTTCAATAAAGGTTATTGCCCTAACCATCATTTGTTATTGAGCAACAGCCAATGGTTATGATCTGCAAAATAATGCTGAGCATATTTTTATGTATTTATACCTACGAATTCATGGGTAGGTAATACCAACTAGGTATAGATTGTATTTTAAAATAATATGGTGTTCAAGTCATAACGAACAATATTCCGAAATTATAAATGCAAATTTGATTTTACAGGCCATGTAATACAAATAACCGTTCAGTTTTTAAATATTGTGTGATATGAACCTTTATAAGTTATGGAAACGCTTAACTTTTGCTGCGTTGCTTAAGTATAATTAAACATATTATAGCTAAAGCGTTTACAATAAAATTATAATTGCCAGTCTAATACACTTTGATAATTTCAAGTCGTGTGCATATAAGTATGTATATTGGTATTAATATTAATAGATATAATACCTACTGGCTACTTGTAAAAAGTAATAAATACATTAGACGACCGAAAAATATATAGTAGAATAAATGGCATAAAAAAGTAAGATTTGTTTAATAATAATCAAACAATATTTTAAGCGAATATATTTTTTTTAAACATTTGTCCATATAATGATTATATTTACACATAACACTTAATGGCATAACATAATAATATTATACTTTTAATCGGCCAACGTTCAGTTGTGCCGCAAACAATGTTCACACGATGGCTAATGTGTTCTCGTGCATCCCAGGGAAACCTAATTGAGCTTCTTGCATTATTCTTAACCTCGGTCCCATGGGCACACCAAGCTTATGCATCCTTTCCTCGCTCATGTATGGTAATTCCACCAAGCCAATTTTTTCTTTCTCGAATGCCGTTGCGTATTTCTAAAAGAGATAAAACAACCAATAGTTAGCTAAATGTTTTTACTTTATAACGATTATAAAACATATTATTAAAAAATTAATTACAAGTATAATCAAAAAATTATTTATAATTGCGTTGTTATAAATTATTGTGTTTTAATATGGTTATTTTAGATAAGTTGATTTGTTACGATTTTCTTGAACAATTACTATAAAAATATATTAATGTAATTAATTTCAGTAATGCAGACTATAATATGTTACCTCATATCCTAATTTCTTGAGAAACAGTCTTAAAAGTGGAGGCTCATCACCAAAAAATTTAGTTAGCTTCTTTACTTTATTCGGACTCGAGTTGGTCTGTTCGGGACAGAGAGATTGAAGTACTCGTGGAACAGAATGTGAACGTATAGACAACATGTTTGTCTGTGTTCGCAACGCGGAAAGTTCATTTCGAATAACTTCCATTTCTTGAATCATTAGATGTTGAGTTCTCATTTCAGACGAGAGGTGCGCAACACTTCTCGCCAGAGTGACTACATGAGATTCCAAACGTTGAAAACGTTTATTAATACCCTGAAAATGATTTTTTTTTTTTTAATATTTATTTATTTTCATTATTAGATTATTTTTGTACATTACAATTTTGATTTTAATAAATTTATAAACATGTTTAAGAAAATATAAACAATTATTTTTATTATACTATTCCATTCGCATATTATGTATACCGCATTGGTACCTATATAATGTAATTCTTATTCTTATTTATATTTTTAAAGTTTGATATCCAAAACTTACTTTAATATCCTTGACAGATTTCTTACGATCGTCTGTTGACCTTCGGTGTCTTTCACGATAAGGTCTACTGCTAACTGATGACGGAATTGAAGACATACTACCATACATTCGTCGTCGGTGAACTCTAGGGTCGGACGGTTGATACCTAGGACCACCGCCAGATTTACGAACACCGAGTAATTTGAGTACCTGTACACGTGGTTCGTGGTTTTAATATCAAATAGGGTGGACAATTAATATTAAATTACGTACCTCTGAATACATAGTTTCCAATCCTTCTAACTGTTTTCGTATTGTGCGTACATCACTGTTAACAGTTTCGTCATCACTGCTTGCTTCTTCGTCAAACATTGAGTCCATATCACCAACACTGCTTGCTATAATAATTGTATTCTTATTTTAATAATTAT